ATATATTCCTCTATTTTTGTCTGTGCTTATATCAATTTGATTTAATCCAAAGTTCAAGCAGGGGTCAATGTAGCGTAGTAATTTAGAGCGCAGGTATAGCTATAGTCATACGAACGTCACAGGCCGCAGCTGACTGAGTTGAATAAAACTAGAATAAGCGCGCGTCACCGCGCATGCATGTGTGTGTAAGTGTCGTCCTCCCGCACCGCACCGGGGGAAACATTATTTAGTGAGATGCACGATAATTCATATAAACACGCGCGCGTAAAAAAATACGAAAAGGCCTTTGGAAGGAGGGGTTTTACGAAAAAACCACTGCATGAATCAATTACCAATAAAATTTATTGAATTCTTCGATAATTGAGCTGTGTCGGTACCGACTTTGTTTTGGAAATTTTACACTGCTTTTATTACTAATTTACGCCCAAAGTTGTGTTAAAATTGGCAATAAAAATGAATCTTTGGTAGCTCGTAATTTTTTACTGACTTTTTATTTTACTATTCTGTTTCGGTACAGACAAAATTAATAATGAGACAAAACGATATCATGTTTAACTTTGGATGTACACTGTCAAACAGCGAAGTAAAACCCCTCCGAAATTTCTATGGAAATAATGTCGACTAGAGTCACCTAAAGATTGGTGAATCTTGTTCAGTTCAGTTCTTAGAACAATTAAAATTTTTATCTAAATATCTTTAAGTCATAAAGATTATTGTTTAACCTAAAACTACGTTATCGTCCTTTCTCACTCGAGGCCACGCTAATCATTAGTCTATAGGTTTCTCTGTCTACGGTGCAGACATATAACTGACATTAAGGAAAGTAAGCCGTGAAATAAAACCACTTTTGAAATATCAACAACTTTAATTATTGCATATATACAAGAACAATCATAGATACAAGATAAGTGTTAACAATACAATCCTCCTCGGATAGTGCGAGCACTGGCGAGCCGAGTGACGCAATCTGCTCTATAACAATCTAAAGCAGCCTTCGCTTGGTGATAAGGGCGAAAATAGTTCAAATTCTGCCAAAAATATATTTCCTTTAAAAGTAAACTGGCAAAACCTGCAAAATAACTGAGACTATGACCACATAAATAGGCACCAGTCAAACATACATAGATATAGGTAACCTTTCGAATACTAATAAGCGATTGCATTGTGAAAAATCTAAAACAATAACGAGCTAATTTTATTGCCAAATATTTTATGTAACAAGCAGATTCTGTACTAGCTAAATTAGAAACAAATCAACAGTTATCAACGTCAATTTAGAAAATACATTCGAAATATGTAACGAAAATAGAGATCGATACGACAAAGATCGCGTTGGCACTGTCTACAGCTATCGTTACAATTTCAACACATAGAACGTAAAATAAGTGTTACGAAAATTCGTTGCGTTTGCTATAAGAAAAGAAAATACAATCGTAACTAAATTATACTAAACAATTTTCAAAATTACATCGACACCAACAACTAGATTTAAAATGTTATTAATATGCGATTTTTTATAAACAAATCTACCTTTTAGTGGCTTATATATATAAATAGAAACATAAAGAAAAAAGCAGATGTTTCAAAATAGGCCAGGTCCTTGTACACTACCTCAAAAAAAAAGAGAAAAATCTGTAGAATTCAAGAAAATACAGATAACTCATTTAAATGTATCCTGTCGTGGTAAACAATTGATGTTTATCAATTATTTTATCGATTTTCAACATGGCGTCTTACTGATTTAGTTACTCCGTGCTTATAGACAATGGGTGCGTTTGGCAGAAAAAAGCGTGGTGGTGATTCGCAGAATTACTCCGCCATTTTTTTTTTTGAGTAGAATATAAGTTTTTTGTGCATAATAGTTAAGTATATAATGACATGAATATTAATATAATTCATGATTGGTAAGTTTTTTATATAAATATTTTTATTCCCCTTGTGTTGGAGCAGAGATCGATTTTGCTTACAGCGCTTGTAGCGTTTTTTTGCCAAACGAATGACAAATAATTAAGCGACTATTGATCATAGAAAGAGAACTGTCAGTTGTCACAAAAGTGTTAAAATACGTGAAATATCATTAATCAATAAAAATGACAGCTTACCGCCATGACGGATTTCTTTTTTGTGTTGCGATTTCAAGTGTAATTTTCTAACCTTTACCAGCAAACAGCCATTATAAAATAATTGGACAGTTGAGAACCATTTAAAATTTGTTTCCCTAATTTTGAGTATAGTGTACAAGGACCTGACCCAGGCTCCATACATTTTGGAACATCTCATTTATGAAACTTAAGCCACGAGGATTGCACACGATAAATAATATATTATATTATATTTAAATATAGAAATCATAATATTATAAACATAAAACGGCGTACGCCAAATTCGATCTTCGAGTAACGAAAAATAAAGTTTAAAATATTACTTATTTGCGTCACATGTTGCCAATTATTTTTATCAAAAACCAAAAAAAGACACAAGTTGAAAATATAAAAAGAACAAAAACAATGGCGTGCAAATCTCGTGCAACAAAAATATTAATAAAAAAACTTTTTGCATGGCCAAACTTACTGATACAAAAGTTTAAAAATATAAAACAATAATTTATCATACTTTTACAATCTAAACGTTTCCGCCTACCGCATTATAAAAAAAAGTTTTTACATATTCACAGCCCTAACAACACCCACGGACATCCGTAGACTCGTTTACACGAAACGACGATGACCTCATTAACGTAGCAGCACCATAGCTGACACAATTCCAACGAGCTACGGATTAAGATCATTGGCTAGAAAACTAATAATTTTTCGTTATTCGGTCAACAGCGGGATTGCACACAAATTGACACAAAAATATGAAACAAAACCGCTTTGTAAGCATAAAAAATGAAGTGAAAAAATGTAAACATGCATGTAATGTAATGAATCTTACGCACGTGATTATATATTTGAAACAAACATTACTCGCTTTATTATGTTAGTGTATAAAGTACATGTATAAAGGAAAGGTAAGTGGATAAATTGGTTTTATTAAGTAATTATTGTTCATCACTGCAGTTTGCAACAAGAACTTAATTTCACACAAAATACAGAGTCAATATATATTTATTTTATTAGTCGGTACGACAGCGATGCAACTCTCTACCTTTTTGAGATCTAATCGATATCAAATCTCGTACTTACCTCGATTGGTACAAATTATTCATCTCTTGGCCTGAGGTCATTTGACCAATGCCATAATAAATGAAAAAAAAACATGATTCAATATAACTGTGAAAATAATACGAGGCTTTTATCTAAATTTACGATATTTAACGAAAAAAATTAGTATTCTGCAAGATAATATTGTGTTAGACGTCTTACGATAAGTGAATGCAACATAACTGTATAACTAAAGTAATCTATATTTAATGTGCCTTCAACATAGACTCGGTATGCGGAGTGCTTGTTGAATCGTTGTCTTATTCACCAATTAGGAAACGTATTTCGTCTATAGGACGTCCATCTGCTAGTAATCTTATATTTAACTGAGCCGGTGAAACATTTGCATATTAATTCATAAAATGTTTCTAAACATTCACAAACCGTTTAACGATAACTTTGTTTTAATTCCATCCTCCTTCCAAATGCTTTTACAAAGTTTATATCTTGGTTTACCGTTTGAAGCGAGTAGAATTTTTTGTTATTGCTCTAACGCGTGAACTGCGAATTGCTCCAACAAGCTTTGCTTGTTCAATCATTGAGTACTAAGATTACAATTAAATCATTATTATATTATTTTACAACATTAATTTTATGTATTAAGAATTTTTCATGCCATTTAAATATTAATATATATTGTACATAAATATTTATGCCGTATTAATGACATAGGTACATGATTCTTGGTTTCCAAATGACTTTTTAAAGTGTATGGTAGTGCAGGCGGTGTAACAACTCACGCGATCCTATTACTTCCTGATCTATGCTCTTCTTTATTTTATAAGCAATAAATATACTGGATGAGACCAGAAATGCTTGCGCTACTGTAACTCGATCTATAGTTTAAATATTCCATATAACATCTCTTCGTTAATTTTCGCGCAGGTTTGCCTTCGTGATACTTTCGGCCTGGAAAATAAACAAATGTTACTCGAGGTTTTTTTTATAGATGTATAGGGACACAGAAATTGCACTTTGCAAAATTTGCACTTGTGTACAGAGTGCGTTCGACGGCGAACGCCAGCGCCAGTCGTTCCCCGTCACTGGCCACGTCAGGCCGCTAACGAGTAGGAAGTATACTACATCGCAGTAACAAATATCTTAATCTGTAAAACTGTGATTTCTGAATACAACTGTTCTGAATACAATTATAACTGGTAAATGAAAAAATTGACTTTCAATAAGTATTGCTTATAATCTACATTGAATAAAAAAGTTTCTGTTTCTGTTTCTGAATACAATATCAGTGACTTATGAGATTTTTATTACTGAACTCAATAGGCACCTTTGGCATCTTCTGTCAGTCATTTACTGGACTATCAGGAATAAGTAACTACATACATACATACTGTACATACTGTAGTACATTAATAAGCACACACCACACTACACCCGCACAGATGTAAGGGTATCAAACGAGAACACAATACGTCTAATGGTAAGTGAAAGCTGCGGAACATAAACACTAACATTTTGTGCACAGATTGTAGTTGCTCTGCTCGGCGCGCGGGTTGCACACCGCAGTTGTTTTTATTTTTAGCTGCTATCAGGAAGACGCTCCTGATGCAGTTTATCTCTGTTACCTCTAATTATAAAAACAAGATGAAACGAGGTAATGAATATTCTCACACCGCCACTACACGGTCACATCATTCATTTATCACTTCAAATCATGTGTCACTCGATATCACAAAATTTTTAAATAAAAGATAGATTACGTGTGCATCATGTGTATCATGTGCGTAGTGTATCGTATGCATAGATCATATGTATCGTGTGAGCGGTGTGGGACGTGCCTCAGAGCGAGTCGCGGTGCCAGACCCAGGTGCGCTTGGTGTGGTCGAAGCGGTGCGCCAGCCACTGCGCCTGCAGTAGCTCCAGCCGGTCCTGGCTCAGGTACAGCGGTTTGCCGCGCCTGACAACACGTACACGTATATCATTTTCAAACTTTTCATCGTCAAGTCATATTTAACCACCAGTGAACATCAGTAATCGAGTTTAACGATAGGAGATAGGTGGCAATCTGTAAAAGCAATTGTGCATTTCTAATGGAAATCCTACCGCGACATGTTTGTTATAGCATAGCGTGACACACGAGCACACAGTCCACCTGATGGTAAGTGGATGCTGTGGCTCATAGACATCTACATTTATCCACAATTAAGAATCAAAATACAATTGTATTATCACCCCTGAGGACTAAGATGGAATGCCTCGATTCCAGTAAAAAGGATCTCCGGATCTCTACACTCACCATTCCAAACCCATAAGCATTAAGCTGCTATTTTACGCTGGTATTCTGTGAGAGCGTGGTCCTTCCCCGATCGAGCTGACTCATTCGTGCTACAATTATAGAATCAATATAGTTGCAGCATGGCATAACACGTGAAATTGTTTAGTTACTATATTCCTTTTAGTGCTTTGAAATAAGTTTTTAGTTACTCGTTGGTCTCGCCGTCTTTCAAGCGTGATTGCCGATCATGATGTTCTGTGTTCGAATCCCAAATCGGTCCAAATTTCGTTATTAAGTCACGTGCCTTGGAAAGCACGTAAGGCCGTTGGTCCTGGACCTGATCTCTCTCTCGTCGTGTCGATTGAGTATAAGAGTGAGGAAAGAAGGAATGTGTCGGTGTTTGTGAATTCACTAAACCACCATATAATCCTATCCTGTGTGGATGGTTAATCTCCGTTGAGACGGGGTGCTATGACAGAAATTAAGTTTGAAGCATATTAATATTATAACCACACAAAACAGATATCAAGACATATCTCGGTGTTTATAAAAGAAAAAAAATTGTAAATTGACTATCAGATATAATTGTGGGAATATTATATTATGTGAATACATTATATACAGAGATTTTAAAAGAAACAAAGAGTACAGTAAATAAAAGGACAAATATGTAACGTTGCATAACGTATATTACTTGAGGTCGCGGTCCTCCTCGTCGTAGTCGTCGAGATAGAGCGAGCCCCAGAGGCAGGCGCGGCGGCCGCGGATCACGATGATGTACGTGGACGTCACCACCAGGAAGATGCCCGTGCCGCCGCCGCACTCCTGCGCGTGCTGCGGACAGTGCGGACACGTACAGTGCGGGCACGTACAGTGCGGCGCGGTACGGTACGATACGATACGATACGATACGATACAACACAACACAATGATCAACATGAGTAGAACGAAGCTGGTGTGTATACACAATCAAATAAATTTAACATTGATAAATTATTTTTGAAATAGTTTACACTTTTTTAGAGCCGTGGTAGCTTAGATGGTTAACATTCGCTGTAAATATTTACAGAACGCGAGTAACCCGGGTTCGATCCCCGCCGGCACCCAATGAAATTGTTAATTGCAATTTTAAGTGCTAATTTACCACGTGCTCGGCGGTGAAGGAAAATATCGTGAGGAAACCTGCATGTCTGAGGAATAAGAAAAAAAAATTCGTAGACATGTGAAGTTCGCCAACACGCATTGAGGCAGCGTGGCAGACACTTCCTTGCCTTAAAATCCTCTCAGAAATGAGGGGAGGCCTGTGCTCAGCAGTGGGACGTCTATAAGCTGTAACTTTACTTTTTTACTTTTACACTTTTTGGTAAGTAGTTGCTGTGGTTCAAAGACATCTTCATCTATCCTCGAACCGAAATACAGATGCGTGATCATCCTTGAAGACTCAGGTGGAATGTTCGTTCATTTACAGTATAAACATACTATACGAAACACAGCAGCATTAAGCAGCTATTTCACGCTGCTATTCTGTGAGAGCGTAGTTCTTACCCGGTCGAGCCGACTCATTCATGCTACTACTCAAACTATAATATTATGTAAGCGTATATAACAGTAGCATGATAACCACGTATAATACTTTCTTAAATCTAATTCTCATAAAAAATTTCGGCTGTTTTCTGATGAACGGCTTTATAATAAATTCATATTTAATTAATGTACAGGTGAATAATCAGACGTGCGACTATGAGGTGACGATGAGACTGCTGTATAGCACCACAGACATACAGACGCTCCTAGTACAGCACTAATGCTGCGCTCGTGCTGCGCTATGCTGCGTACCTGCACGGCCTCTGCGACCTGGTGGCGGCGGCAGCAGGCCTGCTTGAGGCACACGAGTGTGCCGCACAGCAGGCACACGGACGCCTCCTTGGGCACGGCGCCGCACTGCAGGCACACGCGCTCGTGGTAGTACGTGAACAGACGGTCGTAGTCACGCGGCAGCGCCAGCAGCGCCGGCTGCGCCCACACCACGTGCAGCGACCGGATTACACGCCGGATCTACACACCACAACACACATATATTGAGTAGCGTCAGCTTGTTACTATACCAGACAGTAAAAGCCTTAGAGTATTTATAAACAAGCTATGGAGCGAGTCAGAACAATAAGCACGGGTGTGAACGGTTTCTAAATCGCAACCGTCACGTTCATCATCACCATTACAGCCATTTACAAGTCCACTGCTAAACATATGCCTCCCCAAAAGAATACCACGAAGAACGGTTCTAAACCACCTACATCCATCGACTTCTTGCATGTCTTACTAGACCGTCACTTCATCTAAAGGGGGATGGTATATATCGGCTATAGACGAAAATCATCCTTCCTCATCGGTAGTCGGTTCTTATCGGTAGTCGACGCAGAGAAACGTCGGGCATAGCCCTCTCCGTAGCTCGCTATGCGACCTTGAGCTTATAGCCAGCAGGGACAGACCACGTCTCAGATTCGTAAGTCATCACTGGCAACATGCACTATTTGGGCGACGTTATTAGTCGCAAAGGGTCACGCGTGTAAATTATTTCTCTCAACGGTATTTATGTGAATTTTAAATTACCATGGTAAAATGTGCAGTGTCAAACTGCAAAAAACGATTTACGGAAGCAAACTTAGAAAAACAATAACATTTCTTTACATCGGTATGTAATATTTCGCTAAGAACCCTGATTTTAACAAAATTACTTGGGCTTTACACACACACACGCGCCCCGCGCTTCGCATTTCAGGTTTTTCCCGGATTGGAGCTAGTGCTGTGCCACATTGTACTCTAATATTTTTATAGTTCATAAGTAGTAAAAAGTTTTTTTAGTAGTACAGAGTACACACAGTACCTGTCAATGTCATACTTTATGGGCATGCACTAATTAGGTCAGCATGCCCATAAAGTATGACATTGACAGGTACTGTGTGTACTACTAAGAAATTCAGGACTTCATAGGCGTGATTTTTACTGACAGCTGTTGCAGAGATCAAGCTATCTTTTATGAACCATAGTAACATGAATTCTTTCGTAATAATTATAATATAATTATGGATCAATGTCTAAAATAAAACTTTTGAAAAGCTTTTTTTAGGTACATAATAAACGTAAAAATATTTTTTCTTGAATTGGAAAATAAATGGGTGCTAACAATAATTTTTAATGCATATTTAGTGAGAGGGCTCTGATGCAATTATAATTTGATTTAAACGTTTTTGTTAACACATATCCTTATCAAATATAGTTAGTGGATAACTATTATTGGCTGAATTTTCTAAAATTATTTGTTAAATTGGTTTTTTTAATATTTTAAGGCGGTTGCAGCGTGTCATCTTAAAACTGCGAGCCCAAAATCAGGAATCTCTTTTGTTCCATCTATTTCAGTGTTTCGTACATTTATTAAAGCAAGAGTGGACTGCGCAAGGGAGTTGCAATACCCGTTCTTAAATTTTAAGTAAGATTACACTTATTTTAACGAGATTCAAAACATCTTTAAAACTGCGATTAAGCAATCAAAACCATAATTATATAATAATTTAACTCTTTTCGTTTTATAAATTTGTATCTGTGTTTTATTGATCTGCTAAACACTTGCTTTATAATTACCGACCTACCTAATATTTAGATATAATTGAATTAATAACTTAAGTACAATAACGCATTTACGTCAATCTTGGTGCATCACTACTCAACCGCTTCACCTATGTATCGGTATTCCAACATGCTGACGCTTGGCATTATGAACTATGAGCGATACGCGAGCTCTGTAGCTGCTTAATTTATGCTCTAAGGTACTATAACCCTATCTGCAAATAAAAAGCAAGACATAGAAACTAATAAGTATTTTAAACAATTTCAGAAAAACCATCAAGTCAAGTAGTAATATTCCAAAACAGAAATGCAGAATATATAAATTTCTGTAAAACTGTGGCTTTTCATTCGATATCTTAAAATATTGTAAAAACATTGTAACATGGCTCAATTAATAGGTATGCGAACACGTACGGTCCAAAAACCATACATTATTTAATGCTGACGCCGCTAAAATCGCCGCGCCGCGAATTTCTTATAATGCATTGTTTTCCATATTAAACTTGTAACAACTGTGTAATAAACTGCTAAAGTAATAACACGCCACTCACACTGACGACACTACAAACAGTACATAAACTAACTTAACTGTCAAAAAGCCATAATAGTCACAAACTATGTATCCGTATGGCCCATACAGTTAATAAATTGCAAAGTGAACACCAAAGGCCAACAAAAACCAAAGCTAATTATTTATACATGATACTAAGATTTTTAACAATGCAGCTCAAGAAATTTTGTCTAGAAAACTAAAATAAATTGAAATAAACATCGCATAATTTGGCTTAGTGACCCAAATTAACCGAATGCATCACACTGTTAGATAAATGATCATTATGCAATATTACTTAGCAATCTTTATCTTCACAATTAATATTAATATGAATCCATTTCGAACTACGTACATTAATTATAAAATTGAGTCACAATATAAAAGCGCGTACATTTAACGCTCCCGGCAGTTTATTACGAACAGTGGTGCTAAAAAGGTTATAAAAGTCAAGTCTATTGTGAAATAAGTTGATTCTATAGGTTTTGAGTAAAGATTAAATTAATATATAGTCGTCTTTGTGAAAGTAAAGTATAGTGTGTTATAAAGTATCATATACAATTTAAGAGTGAAATTAAACAACGAACATAGTGATTAAACAGTTAACTAAGTGAGTTGTCGTGGTTTTATTGGAGAAAAGCTGACAATACAATCAAGACACAAAGAAAATATACTTTAAACGAAAGACCAAAATATTTTGGTATTCCACAGGGAAGTATTCTATGCCCAATACATTTTTTTAAAATGATCAACCAAAAAAAAATCAAAGTTATCATAGTTTAGTAGATATGTATAGAGAATAGCAATAGAATGGTGTTAGTAGATGATGACAATGATATTTAAATATCAGTTTTTAGTGTCCTGTCAGTAGGGAACGTAATTGTTATAGGAATAGAAATAAAAATAGAAACTTTTTTTATTCAATGTAGATTATAAAAATACTTATTGAAGGTCACTTTTTTTAATTTACCAGTGGTTCGCAAAAAAAAACCTCTGTCCTGGGAAGAACCAGCAAGAAACCCAGCGGGACTATTTTTTTCCAATAATAGCTTACAATCATGTTTACAATCAACAACACAAGACAAATTAGAAATAGCTTGGTAGCGATCACCCTTCCCAGGGGTTATTATCATCTATAAATTCCTTAATATTATAATAACCCTTTTTATACAAACTTAGTTTAATAACATTTTTGAACTTTGTGTATGACAAATTTTGTATATTTTCTGGGATTTTGTTGTAAAAGCGTATACATCGCCCCAAGAATGAATTACTGACTCGGTGGAGTCGAGTAACTGGTACTACCAGCTTGTGTCTGTTCCTAGTATTTACAGAATGAATATCACTTATTTTCGCAAAACTACTTTTATTTTTGTGTACGTACGTATAAAAATGGACTTACGGCAAGTTGTCCTCCACTCGCCGCAGAAGCGAGCTGTCGTGCCCAAGCCTTCGCAGCAGTGGCAGCTTCTTCGTGTAATGCGGACGCCGCCGTTATGTTTTCTCCGGACGCTAACTCCAAGAATTCCACCAGTTGGGGAAATTCGTCTTGCGGGTTCTCGATTTCGGGAAGTGGCTGACCGTAGATGTGTTTACGCAGAAGCGCCGAGATACGCAGGAATGGAAGGATTAGTTCTTGGACCTACAAATAAATTTAAATATTGTAAAATATTACCATTGTGAAGTAAGATCTATGTTTGTCATTATCGACGACACAATATCAACATATCAACAAAGTTCTTTCTAACATCTGCAGCATACCGAAAATGTCGGTCTCTAACAGAGTATTCGACATAAAATGGTTTATTTCATAAAAAAAACAAACATTCACATTTTACGTTCAATGTCGGAAACTTAAAATTGATTCTGTCCGTGTTGATATTGTTGTCATGGTTAGGCAGAGATGTTATGTCAGCTTTTCTAGTATTACTTAGTGCAATGTGATGTCTACATTTATTTGTCGCTAAACAGGATGTTTTATTAATAACATGTTTTCTTTATTGCTGAACAGTGTATCAGTGTAGTGCAGTCTCACTCTGCATATTGAGGTAGTATATAAAAAAGACTACGAAAAATGCAATGCTTTTAAATTGACATTATTTGATATAATTTGTTTTTGAATTTTTTAAGAACCATATAGTGGTGGTGTAAGAGTATCCACTGCCTCTTATCATCCCGTGGCTGCCGTAAGAGGCGACAGAGGGAAATGGACCAGGAGCGTCTTCGTAATGATTAACTAAAAAAATTAAAAAAAATTGCTTATTCGTCTAGCGAGCGTTGTGACTATGGCGTAGTTTACCCTATGAGTTAGGCTATGGAGGAGGCTTGTGTTTAGCAGCGAAATTTTATAGGTTATAATGTATTTTTATGTGCACTACCATGGACAAACGTTAAACTTTCACATGTTCAACAAGTGTTTATATGCAGCAGGATCTAATCGAGGTGTTGTGGCTCGCGATGTACTGCGTACATGTGGTCAGTGTGCGATGTACAGTGTACAGCTGGTGAGTGTAGCAGTATGTGCGGTGTAGAGGGTACAGGTGGTGAGTGCGGTGTGCGGCACACAGTGTACACGTGGTGATTGCACGGTATACAGTGTACAGGTGTTGAGTATGCAGGTGGTGAGAGTTTGCACCTGTGCGTCGAGCAGCTGGGGCGCATGCTCTGCAGTGCGCGGCGCGTCGTCGCACAGCAACGCCGCGCCTGCCAGCGCCGGCGCCACCACCCGCGCCGCACCCAGCACTCCGCCGTCTTCGATCCCGCCCGCACCCGCACACTCCTCCCCCCGCACCCAGCGACACCTCCCCGCCCGCGCACAGCTGACACACCACCTGGTAGTACGTCAGCGCGTACAGCGCGCTCACGATGCACGTGAAGTGCTCTGCGGGGAACACACACACCTACACGTGACACATCAATATCTACACTTTCAGTTTAACAATTACAGTGTGATTTTGTTACTCTGACGTGTTCAGATCACTGAACGATAGTAAGGTGAAGGTAGTGGTAAAACCGGTCTGCTGGCGGTCGCGTATCGTTTGGAGTGAAGTGTGAAGTAAGCGAACGAACTTGGCACCGACACTACGTGCAGCCGCTCAAATAATATTTTTATTTAATTTGCAAATACCTTTGGTTTTCAGTTATACCAGTTTTCTATAAATTTTATATTTAGCCGTACAACATTGAGAACAAAACAGATGTCTGATGTTCAGTTTCGTTGTATAGTATAGATTGTAAATCTGATAGCTTTTCCAATTGCTATCGTATTTTATTACAAACTATTGTCACCATAAAAAAGAATCAACCAATTGATTCTCCACCAGAGTTTATTTATTTATTACGCCAACAAGTTATATGTATACATTTTTAAATTTAAAACTGATATACAAATCAATAACAGATAAAAATATCATTTAGTAATTCGAATTACATAATTTTAGAGAATATATTACGATTACAGCCGATAACATATTACAATGTCCTCATCTATATGATGACCGAATTGTACACTGTATACAAATAAAATATTCGTATAACAAATATGAAACTTTTTGTTTACGATATTCAAGAAACGCCACATACAGTTGAAATTAATTTATTTTATTTTACACGCATTCATTGATACAATGTATGTTTAGCTGTTGATTTGTGTACTGTTTTAATAATGATGAATAATAATGACAATCTATTAGCTCTGCTATACAAATTTATAGGTAGATCCACATGAATTGATATACATTATTTGTCAAACATAAATTTCATACATTTTATTAAGTGTATCTTCAATATTATAAATTCATTAATCAAGTCCATTTCTATGACTTTCTACCAACGAGCATAATACGTATAGAAAATGAGTTAACAGTGAGCAGCGTTGTGAAACGTTGAACACAACATGCTTTTTATTATTGCGTTCATACTGGTACGTCCGACATATATGCCACGAAATGATCTTTTTATTATAAGAACAAGGGAAAACGAGCGCGTAGCTTACTTAATATTCTCACCGTTCTTCAGTCACATTTTAGAATAATAACATAATATTTTAGTCAACAATTACTTTGAATCAATTTCGTTATTTAGAAAACAATGCAGATTCATGTGACGGACGTGTGTATAGCGCGGTATGAGAAGTGTAGTAGTGTGCGTGGGTGCGTGCGTGCGGTACGTACGTATCTCGAGGTAGGGCGCGGTGTGCGGCGCTAGCAGCAGCAGGTGCATGAGCAGCGCCAGCGGGTCGCGCAGCAGCAGCGGCACGGGCCGCGCGCCGCCAGCCGCGTTCGCCGCCGCAACAGCACCCGCGCCAACACCGCCGCCCGCCCCGACCGCCGCGCCCGCCGCACCAGGCCGCAGCGCGCGCCACGTGGCGGCCGCGCCCAGCGATGCGCCCGCCGCCGCCAGCGCGCGCGCGTGCGCACCCGCCACCGACATCAGTGGCACTGATTCACACACAACCTTATTACGTACATCTTCTTCTACAACAATACTTGTAAAATTCTGATATAATACGACATTTTCTAAGTAAATTCGCGTATTATATGAGTTAAGTTACGTCCCACTGCTAAGCACAGAACATCTCTCATTTCTGAGAAGGTTTTAGGACAAGGAAGTGTCTTCGAAATATAATATGTTTTTTCTTATTTCTCAGACATGCAGATATTCTTAGGATGTCTTTCTTCACCGCCAAGCACATGGTAAATCCCCACTTAAAATTGCAATTAACAATTTCGTTGGTGCCGGCGGGGATCGAATTCGGGTTGCTCATGTACAAAGAAATTTACAGCGAGCGCTGAGCTACACAATTACAGTATTGTTAGGTTATTGAAATGATTGAATTGAGTAATTAACCTCTAATTCTGTACACGTACAATGAAATTTTGTAATTATTTTCCAAACACAATTCGTCATCAAATATCACCTAAATTGATTCCTTCCGGATCAAAGATATAATATTATCATTCTATGACTAAAATTTAATGAGTTATGAAATCACAAGCAATTAACAAAGCAAAGTTTATTCACGTGGTAAAGTCACGTAGTAGGCTATATTATGACTGTAGCACAATTCGACCAACTCTACCGGGGAAGAACTACGTTCCTTCATGTCACTGTGCTTCGTATGGTAAGTGCAAACAGGTATGGGTAACAAAGAATTTGCATTTTGATACTTAATTGAGTATAGGTGTAGTTGTCTATGGACCTCAGCATCCACTTGCCAGCAGGTGGACTATGTGCTCGTTTGTCATCCTTATAGTATACAGTGTAGAGGGTAGACAGGTAGACAGATGAACTGTGTGCCCTTCTAATCTTATGGGGTCGAGTGTACAGTACAGTGTGTAGTATGGACTGCAGAGTGTAGTGTGTATTAGAGTAAAGCATGTGGAATGTAGAGTGTAGTGTAGCGTGCAACGCATAGTGTGGTATGAAGAGTATAGAGTGCAGAGTGTAGTGTATAGAGTGCAGAGGGTGGAGAGGTACCGATGCAGTCGTCGCGCGGCTTGTAGCGCGGCGCGGGGCGGGCCAGCAGCGCGCCGCCGCGTTGCACCAGCTCGCACTCGAGGTTGGTCCGCAGCAGCGACGCCACGAACGTGAAGATGGCCGCCGGCGACGAGCCGTAGCGCTGCTTCAGTTTGCCGCCCGCCATCGCCGTCATGTCCTCCATCGCCTTGCCCATTGCCTCCGACAGCCGGCTCGGGCTCTGTTAAAAAAGTTAAGTTAGGTTACAGCCTATATACTTCCCACTGCTGGGCACAGGCCTCCCCTCATTTCTGAGTGTTTTAGGGCAAGGAAGTGTCCGCCGCGCTGCCCCAATGCGTGTTGGCGAACTTCACATGTCTTCGAAATTTTTTTGTCTTACTCCTCAGACATGTAGGTTTCCTCACGATGTTTTCCTTCACCGCTGAGTACGTGGTAAATCAGCACTTAATATTGCAATTAACAATTTCATTGGTGCCGGCAGGGATCGAACCCGGGTTACACGCGTTCTGTTGTATTTACAGCGAGCGTTAATCATCTGAGCTACCACGGTTCTGTGCGTAATGCGTCGGTTTGACGTTCTGGCAGCCAGGCTAAACTTCTAATGGGGAATAGCATTACTAGCCACGAGGGTTATACGAGTATACACCTCTGTGCCCACCAAACCGTCTGCCCGTATTTTCACCATTTATCCACTCTAGAATCCACCCTCGAGTGGATTCTCAGAAATGCGCGTCCGTCTATCCATCCCGAACGGAGTGGATAATCAGAATTCGTAGATATTATTTTCTTTCGACTTTCCACTCCAGCTGTGTAGTCATTTATAAAAGCATGATAAAACCTGGCTCAAGATACTTAGTAGACATATTTTTTTAGTAGATACTTAGTGGGATTACAAACTCATTGCAGTTCTGGGAATAAAATAATTAAAAATAATGTTAAAGACCAACTTCCAATCGTAACGTTTTTGTAATGTTTGCATAAAACGCCCAATTCTTAGCTAACACATCGGAGAGCAAAAAAATTTAAAAACGATTGCAAATGTACGTTATGTGGCGAATTTGTCCAGGATATCAAATTACGCCTACAGAATAATGAATTAGATTTGGTAATTGTGTTAACATATTGCAGAATTTATAAATTACGCAATAATATTATTTAAAACGAGGAAGTTTAATTTGATACAAATAATATACGTAAAGCGCGGATTTTAATTACGTAATAAGTTTTTTGATAAGGTTTGTGGTTCTTAAAAATTAATTAATAATTGAAGTGTATGTGATGAAATGTACTCGGGGTGAAAAGACGGAAGAACAAATAAAAGTGAATCCCGATTATAAGCCCCGTTCGGGGTGGACAGCAGGACACGCGTTTTCGAGTATCCCTATAGTATATCCTAAGGTACCTTAGGCCAATGATAAATCTTTTTATAATGCAATAGTTAAAAAAATTAAGGGATATAAAAAATTGATTTAGGTGATTTTCGACAAGCTGTAACTCCGAGGAAAATAATCCTAAAGTAAAATAAGCAAATTGTATTGATTTCTTTATACTTACGCGAACACTACACATTGAAATCTTACTAGTTTTTACGGATTTTATCGCGTATATTTAACTTTTTAAATTTAAAAGTTTAAAAGTCACGGGGGGGACTGAGATGTTCAATGTCCAGATGTCATAGTTAACTGCGGTTACTATAGATTAAAATTTAACTTTTGTTCCGATCTACACAGTATGAACTTATGGTATCTTGAAGTCTTGCAGTTGTATGCTTGGGTTGGGATTTAATTTTATTTATTATAGGATCCCAAGCAGATGGTAGCACCCAGCCATCTTCTCTATTGAAATTAGGATGTTTTTTGATTTCAATAGCCTCGCGAATCATTCTTGGAAGGAATCGGTGTTCTTTAGCGAGGATTTGTGGTCTATCAAATCTGATGTAGTAACGGGGGCGATCCTGTACGTGTTCACAGACTGCAGACTTCCCGGAGCGTCGATTCTTCACATCAGCTATATGTTCTTTAACGCGGGATTTGATTGATCTTTTAGTTTGTCCTATGTAAGAGAGACCACATTCACAATCCAGCTTGTACACTCCTGCATCTTGCAGAGGGACGTTACACTTGACTGATGGTAAAAACTGACCAATCTTCTTCAGCGGCTTGAAGTATGTTTTGATGGAAGCGCGTTCAAGTTGTAGCCAATCTTGTCAGTGACTCCTCTAACATATGACAGTACAGCAGGTACACGCTCGACTGTGGCCGGCTTCACTCTTTCACTGTGACGTAGGCGCGGGACCCGAAGCTTGTTGTCATGCAAAACTTGCTTGACGTGGTGAAGCTCGGCAGCCAGATGCCTACTGTCACAGATCCCTCGTGCTCTCTGAAACAAAGATTTACCCACGGTAGCTAACTGTGAAGGATGGTGGTGAGAATCACCATTTAAATATCTATCTTTTTTTATAGAAGAGGGGGCAAACGAGCATGCGGCTCACCTGATGTTAAGTGACTACCGCCGCCCATGATCAACTGCAACACCAGGGGAATTGCAGGTGCGTTGCCGGCCCTTTAGAAAGGAGTAAGCTCTTTTCTTGAAGGTCCCCACCAGGTCGTATCGGTCCGGAAAAATCGCCGGTGGTAAACTATTCCACAGAGAGGTTGTACGCGGAAGAAAACTCCTTTTGAAACGTACAGTGGTGGACTGCCAAGCATCCAGATGGTGTGGATGGTATCGGGACGTTTGCCGCGTAGTGCGTTCACGAAATTTGGCGGCTGGGATTAATCCGAACAATTCCTTAGAGCACTCCCCATGGTATATGCGAAAGAAAATGCAAAGAGATGCAACATCTCTTCGCAGCGCCAGTGAATCGAGCCGATCGGAAAGCACTCGATCGTCGACGATTCGAGCCGCTCTGCGCTGGATGCGGTCAAGTGGAAGGAGCTGGCACTGGGGAGCCCCAGCCCAGAGATGGGAACAGTATTCCATGTGCGGCCGAACCTGCGCCTTGTAAAGTTGCAGGCGGTGTGCCGGCATGAAATACTGTCCCGGTCTGCTGATCACGCCAAGTTTTTTAGAGGCCAATTTGGCCTTCTCTTCCAAGTGACCACGAAACTGCACGTCACTCGATATGTCGACGCTGAGGATTCCGATACTGGCTGAGGCAACAAGGGGAGTGCCTTGAAACTGAAGAGATACGACGAAGGGTTTCTTTTTAGCGGTTAACGCGCAAACTTGTGTCTTCTGGGGGTTAAACTGGACTAGATTTAGTCGCCCCCAATCCGAGACTCTGTTCAGCAAAGACTTGACTTCAGACACAAGTTTGTCCCGGTACTCGGAGACGTTTTCCCGAGAAATATTGGCACGGCCGGTGTAAAGAGCATCGCCAGTGCTGTCATCTGCATAGCAATGAATGTTACGGTTTTGCAACATATCATTGACATGCAGAAGAAACGGCGTTGGCGATAGCTTGTGGAACACCAGTATTAAGCTTGTAATCGGAGCTTGCACCGTCTACAACGACCTTGATGCTCCGATCTGCAAGAACGCTGGTGATCCAATCGCACAATTTCTCGGGAAGCCCATAGGAAGGGAGCTTCGAAAGAAGCGCTTTGTGCCAAACCCGATCGAAGGCCTCCGCTATGTCCAAACTAACTGCCAATGCCTCCCCCTTGGACTTTACTGCCTGCGCCCATCTATGAGTTAGGTAGACCAGAAGATCACCAGCTGACCGACCACGGCGAAAACCGTATTGGCGATCACTAATCAGCTGGTGATCCTCAAGGTACCTCATGAGCTGGCAGTTTACAATAGACTCCATTGTTTTGGAGAACAAGGAGGTGATGGCGATAGGCCGGTAGTTGGACGGGTCTGAGCGGTCGCCTTTTTTTAGGGATCGGGTGGACGAAAGCCGTCTTCCATGAGTTTCGGACTACGCCTATGGAGTAGGAGTACCGGAAAAGACGCGTTAAAACCGGTGCCAACTCTGGAGCACACGTACTCAGCACAATTGGGGGGATTCCGTCAGGCCCACTCGACTTGTGAATGTCCAGGGTGAGGAGTGCTTTGCGAACCGAGCGCTATGTGAAATGCACTTCCGGCATGGAGCACTCACACCGCGGGATGGTCGGCGGCATACTCCACCCGCCATCGAGAGTCGAGTTGGACGCAAAGAAAGAGCCTAGCAGATCGGCTTTCTCCTTTGCGGTATGGGCCAGTGAGTCGTCCTCCCTGTGCAGAGATGGGAGAGATGGCTGACAGAAATTTCCCTGGACAGCCTTGGCGAGAGACCAGAATGCACGGGTTCCAGAAGTAAGGCGAACTAGTTTCTCGCCAATTCTGCCTATGTGCTCTGACTTTGCCTTGACAATGACTCTTTTGAAGGACCTAGAAGCGGAATTATACTTCTTTTTTAGAGCGCTGGTTTTTACATCCCGGGACGGTGATATCAGCCCAGGCTTGGTAGCACTCCTGCTTATAGCATGATGCTATTTTACAGGAGCGACCAAACCATGGCTGGGATTTGCCTCCAATGGGCACCACAGAGGAAGGAATAAAAAGTTCCAAACTTACCCTGAAGTACCACATCAACGACAGAATCCGCAACAACGTTGGGATCGTCCGGCGAGAAGAAAACCCGCCCCCAAGGGTAGGATGCAAAGAAAGACTGCATCCCATCCCAATCGGCTGACCTATAGTGCCAAACACGGCGGCAGCCTGCACAATGCAACTGCGATTTCAGCGTGAGTGGCACCACACTCCGGACAAGACAATGGGGTCCGAGGAGCCTAAAGGGGCGTCGACGGAAATCTGATATCCGTCAGAGTGAGAGGTCAGCAGAAGGTCCAACAGGTAAGGTGCATGATCCTCCACATCGGGAATCCTCGTAGGCGAGGTAACCAGTTGTCAGACCATTGCCAAGGCAAAATCATGAACAGATCTCCCCCGCATGATCGGTTAAACGTGAACCAAGCCATTCGGCGTGATGGGCGTTAAAGTCGCCGAGGATCACGATCTCTGCGGAGGGGATCTGCTGTAGCAACGAATCTGAAGCCATTTGGACGTGGTCGAAGAGTCGGTCTGTTTCGGCATTACCGCTATGGGACCTATAGAGGCACCCGTAGACGCGCGGATGGTCGTCGCTGTCAACGCGTAGCCAAAGGATGGACAGATCCGAACCTTCAAGTCTGCCGAGGCGTCGAGAACAGATGTCCTCTCTGACGTAAACGCAAACTCCAGCCCGAGGCACAAAGGAGTGTTCCAGTTTGTACCCCACATAGGAGAGATACGAGACATCAGCCGGAGATGACACCTGCGTCTGGGTCAGAAAGAGCAGAGCCGGCCTCACCGTCTCGAGATGGTAGTGGACGGCGTTTAGGTTAGAGTGACAGCGTGGCAGGGGTCGCCTTGGTCTTGTTGCTCCGTTTGCCCCGAGCAGTTGTAGTCTGAATTTTGTTGTCTGAAGTTGAGCGGAATTCCCCCCCCCCCCTCCCCAGAATACGCGGGGCAGCCTGAGCACCCACGCTCAGGAATGGAGAAACATGGGCGTGGAGGCTCAGCGAGGGATTTTCCAGGGGTGCTGATACCCTCCTGGGGTAGTCTATCATAATTTAATTCCGTTACCATGTTGATGGGGGGGGGGGGAATTTGGGCCTCCGACCACCTGCACTCACCAGACGAAACGCGGAAGCAGAGCTTCCACTTCACGCCGGTATTCTGTGAGTGGTAGCACCCCGGTTTGAGCCGGCCCATACACGTGCAACAGCAAAGCTGCCGCGTGGCTCTACCACTGTTAAAATCTCTCAATCTGTATGGGTCTTTCTTCTATACACAGTATGGTTCAAGGTGTTATCAGGATTACGAATTACTAACACATCTAGAAAAGCTAAAGAATTGTTTGCCTCTAACTCCATTGTGAACTGTATTTTAGAATTTATAGAGTTAAGAAGGTCTAAAAATGCAGTTACTTTATCTAAAGGTTGAATTGCATCCAATTGAGATGCAATTCTACCTTTAGATAAAGTAAGATTTGATAGACCACAAATCCTCTTTAAAGAACACCGATTCCTTCCAAGGATGATTCGCGAGGCTATTGAAATTAAAAAACATCCTAATTTCAATAGAGAAGATGGCTGGGTGCTACCATCTGCTTGGGATCCTATAATAAATAAAATTAAATCCCAACCCAAGCATACAACTGCAAGACTTCAAGACACCATAAGTTCATACTGTGTAGATCGGAACAAAAGTTAAATTTTAATCTATGGTAACCGCAGTTAACTATGACATCTGGACATTGAACATCTCGGTACCCCCCCCCCCCCCCGAACATCTCAGAAAGAGCTCGAAATGTCGGGTATTTAAAAAGTTAAATATACGCGATAAAATCCGTAAAAACTAGTATTATTTCAAATTGTATTGATAAAAATATTTCATGGCCAGATCTGAAAACTAAACACACGAAGCCTCACTTAGCTTTTTTTATGCTATACGATCATTTTCTTGCAGCTTGTTGAAAATCACCAAAATGATTAAGCAATAGTTTAACATAAATTTTGAAGAAAAGGATACTTCTGTAAAACATGTGCAGAACAAAAAAGGGATATTATTTAAGGGTTTTGATAGTGTACAGGAGACATTCTAGATATACTTTGCCACAATTTTTAAGATAGCCTTAGCCGTGTTCATAAGTATAAAGACTGCTAAGGCTAAGGCTTATTCAAAATTGAATTAATTCAGGTGAGGGCATAATTTTTAAAAATATTTTTGATAAGATTGAGAATTGTGAAATTTGGTATAGTTAATGTTTATATGGAGAAAGAGTGCAAATTTTGTATAATATGTGTTAGTCATTGAGTTATTATGTACTACGTACTAGAGGCGACACTGCATACAGCTACTGTGTTCCACTCAACTGCGGTGCATACACCTAGCACTTTAATCGCTTGGCGTTTATAGAGTTGTCACGTGTTGTGTTGATTTAAAAAAAATTTCTTGATAAAAATATGCCGTCGTGTGTACTTAAATATTGCACAAATAATTCAAGAAATGTCAGTAAAAATCAAGGAATTACTTTTCATCGGTTAATAAGATACTTAATCAATAAAACGTATTATGTACTAATAATAAAACAAATTATTCCTAAGACGCCATCTCGTGTCATGGAATATAGATTATGAAATTAAATGTTCAGATGCGACATTTCTGTGGGTACTTAAGTATAGGACGAATATAATATTATACACATTTTTTTGTAGAAACATATATAAGCTATTATAATTTGGCAAAATTTTCATGTTTGAATGTGCTTACTATTCTTTTATTTTATTTTTAGGTTTCCACATCAAAGTCAAAGTGGTATAAATTCGTCCATTTTTAACTCTCGCGAGCCTAGCATTTATGGACGACTTTTATTCTAATTAAAATAAATATATTTGTAATTTAAATGTTACGTTAATAAGTTTTGTTAAAGATGCATTTAGTATGTTTTTTTATATTTGACTTAGATACCTTTTAAAATATTTAGATAAAAATATCATTAAAATGTAATTGTGATATAATATTATGTAATATTATATTAAATAAGCAAATATAATATACAAAATAAATGACAAAATTTAAATATTGTTCTCGATATAATTTACCTATTTAACAATACAATCTACTATTACATAGTCATTCTACTTATGTTTATTCTATGATAAAAAATCAACCGCGCGAACACAGAGTAGCGCACATTTTTTGTTTGAGATAGCTGTTCTAGTACGTAAGTACATATTACTTCAATGGCTACAGTACATTAAATAAAGTAATATTAAGAGTATATTGTTCATATTGCCTATGGTATGAACATAATAAATCACAGAACACTATTATATTCTTTACCGAGAACACATAATAGGGTCTGTCATTTGTTTAAGTTCATACTGTCAACGTTAGACACAAAATAGATTGTGATCAAATAGTTGCATAGAGTACAGATCACCAATAGATTTATATATTAATGTGCAGTTATAATACTTATACATTTTGAGAGTTAAAACTTAAATACGGCTTGCTTATTATAATATAAACTTAAAAAATTAGGCAACCGCTAGTAGGGAAGATAGGGGAGAGATGGGCACTTTTTCACATAAGAGTTAATAAAAAAGCACATTTTTAATATATCCAATATTTATTGCCAAGTTAAATTGTACCATACATTTGGCAAGATGTTTAACAAAGAACAGACTACAAATTATAATCAGTCTCAAAGTTACAAAAGGATCTCAGAAACATGTCAATTGTGCCCAAAGCTCCCCATGGTAGGGAGGTTCGGGTACCCCCTGTGGGAGGTTTGAGCATGATGTTTAAAACACCCTCGTTTCATAATATAAACCGAAAATTTGTGACTATATAAACCTGGATGAAGAATCCTTTAAATATTCCTGTTTTAGATATCGTAGTAAGTTTGTTCTACGTCTTTTAAACTTATCATCAGTTGTTGTATGTCACCGCCTTTTGAAACTTCTTCTATGGCACCTAATATCACAGATTAATAAATAGTTTACCAACAGATACATCACTTCCATACAAAAGCGAAAATACCTACGCTATAATAGCCTACAAAATCTTAATAATAATATCTGCTGCTCGCAGCGAGAAGAAAATGTACCGTAAGTACGCGCACCAAGAGTCGAGATTGTGTTGCCCGCCGTGCAACTCACGTGCAAGCACGTCATCGCACGAATGCGCTAGGGTTGTACCAAGGTTGTACCTATGATGATTATTGTCTTCGATCAAATTGTAATAAAATGAATGTTGCGAAATACATACATACTAACAATATTTTTTATTTGTCAATCAAATATGTTTGAGTTTTATAAAATGATCTATACATTTTTTTCCTTCTCTAAATTCTCGGTTATTAAATTTTATCGTTGAAGTATCCTGAATCGCGTAAATAATTTTAATAAATAATCATGAGGAAAACACGACCAAAGCAGAGGAAAAACAATGCTTTGTAAAATCTGCAACACGGTGCTGCCAGACCGGTTGATTATGACGTTTTCAAAATTATTTTATATTATTTGAGAATGATCTTTCTAATTCTTCAATATAATTATTAAACGGTTCTGGTGGGAATTTTAACCCACCATAAAAGATGAATCTTTATTATAAGCTTTGAAATGAGTACATAGTGTTGTTTCGTCAACATTAGAGTTCTCCTGTAACAAATCATTGAAGCTAGTGCAGTTACGTTTTTTTTGCATCACTTATGTAATAAATACTTTAATACATAAGTCAACGCAAAAAAAGACAATTTTTATTTGTTTTTTTTTTTTTTACTTTTACACCCATCCACTGCACAATAATTACATGATTTTGGCATTTCGACGAGTAAGCGCGGGAAACGGTGCTTGCGGCAGCCTAATGTCGGTTGTATCGTGGACGATACGCAGAGCGGTAAGCATATAACGCGTGGCCTAGAGCGAGTGACGGAGGCCTGCTAATATTCTGTCTTTCAGAATTTCGCATCGCTTACCCTTCTTTTTATACCTGAACGGCGTATATGTAAAACAAACTGTTTCATTATATACATCACTTAAAGGTAAGGAGCATTGGGCATGCCTAAACCACCCTCAAAACTAAATCCCATTACACCCTCTGCATACATTTTCAACTTAAGTTTCCAGTGAAGTTTTAAGATTAAATTTTTTAGCGTGACTTACAGGTTAATATATACGGTAGTTAATATACAACGGATATAAAATTAAAATAAAATACTTACCTTCACTGGTTCTTCGATTATATATGGCGAAACCACAACAAAATGTTTACTTTGATGCACACCTAATCTTAAAGAACGTGTAACTTTGACAACTGAACGAAATGACAAATTTTCTAGGGATGAAAATTTTTGCCAGTGAGTAAAATAAACAACCAACATAAATATAAAATAAATTTTACAATTGAACTGGAATTACGAGGTGTCCCATGTCTCCCAACTCTTCCCTACCTCCCCTATGTAATAAAAACTGTCAGTAATGATAATATGATATCACTTACTGGCGGCGGATGTTCGCGCTCGAGCATATCGAGCAGCTCCGCGGCGGGTGAGGCGGCCGGGGTGGGGGCTGACGGCGCAGCGGGAGCGGGCGGCGGCACGCGCGGCAGCACGCTGTTGGCCAGCTGGCGGCACACGGGGCACAGGAACTCGCCGCGCTCCACGCGCAGGTTGTGCGGGCGCGGCGCGGCCAGGGCGCGCAAGTAAGCGCGCAGGCAGCGCAGGTGCAGGTGGTGGCCGCACGACTGTGCCGCCACGCCGCCTTCCCAGCCTACGCTCACGCTCGTCACCCACGACTCCTGGTCGAAGTGCTGCTGCAGGTCGTCGTGCAGTCGGTAGTGGTGCGCGGCGGCCGTGAGCTCGCGTTGCGCTGCCAGACGCGCGCGGTCAGCCTCACTGAGCGCGAGTCGTGCCACGCCGCTGCCCGCGCGCCGCCGGTGACCCAGTACGGACGTCGACTGCAAGCGCACGCCACTTCACTACGTGATCACGAGAACTCTCACATCGACAGCACTAATAACTCAAACTCCCCGTCACAAATATCCAGCTCGAAGGACCATTAACAGTATTTCATGTTCTTGCGAGCCGAATACAACAAAATACAACAGAACCTTTTTTATAACTGGCTACATAGGACACGTCTGTGCAGTATGCACCATCAGCATCAGGAGGTGTTCCAACGAACATAAATACACTCTTGCGACGAACAATATTTAACACCTGGATTTAAAAAGTAAATAGCATGTGTCGGCGCAAAGACGTCTTCTTTAGCCGAAGCCGAAACTTTGAGTTGTATTTTAATTTTTATGATAATCAATCTTACTAAATATTATGTATAACTAACGTAATTAGGTTATAATGTGAACTACGGATATAATGTAAAAGGTTTATAAAATAAGTTAAAATATGTGAGAAGTAAAAAGAAAATACTCTGAGGCAATATTTTGTGTATACTAGAAACCGAAAAGAATGACACCGTGTGACCATCAGCGTGACGAATAAATTCACTTAATGAATGTGCGAATGAAGGAAGGAATGAGTGTGGGTAACCTGCAGTAGCACGACAAGGCCGATGGGGTCGTGGTGCGTGGCGGGCGCGGTGGTGTTGCAGATGACGCAGTCGTAGGCGCGCGCCAGCGGCTCGTCGTCCCAGTCCATGGCGCAGTCTGTGGCGCGCGCGGCCGCCAGGAACTGCTGCTGGCGACGCGCGAACTCGCGCATCAGCTGCTGCTGCCGCTCGCGCGCGCGCCGCGACCGTTCCTCCTTCTCGCGCCGCTCCCTGCGCATGGGGGCAGCCCGGACTCAGGAAATTGTGAACCAGTGTTTCACTCCATGCTTCGAAAACACGAATCTATCTGTGTCTGTTCTAGCACTTAGTACATATTTCTTCAATCCAAAGACAAACATAAATAATGACACCGTTTTCTTAATCACATTCAACAAAATCAATTGTCAAACACAACGTTCGCGATTTGCAAAATAAAGATCTAGGATGTGTTTCGATATACGAAAAATTCGTTATAATGAACTGCCAGTATACTGCCGCAGTTCCCTAAGGAAATATATGGGGCGTCATAAATCGCCGACTTTTTTTAGTGTAAGCACTGGCGCTTTTGAGGTAAGGTTCTCTCAGTACTTTGATTACGTAATCAAAAACATAACAGCGCCTAGAGATTTAACAGCTTCCACGAATGATTTTTATTATTAGTAATTAGTATTATTCTTCAAATAAACTCGAACATTAAGCTTTAAAAGCAAAAACATTCAAATAATATTTTTCTTTTTGAACAAAAAAGTGTCTTCCAAACTCAAACTTACATCGAAAATATTTTCATTTGAAAACAGTGTCAAAAATAAGGATATATTGCGTTCCGTTTTAAACAACTAGCAGTATAGCAAACTAAAAGGAAACGGCTTTACAGTATAACTGAATACACAATACTGAATATACAATAGTCACAGAGCTCGGCCCTAATGTTCTCGCGCAAAGTATTCAGGGCTCAGAGTCCGTCTAGTAGTACATACAGAAGTTTTCATAGCAAGTATACCAAATATATTCGTTACCAGTCTAACTTTTCGACGGGAAGGACGTACATACGCATATCGATAAATGTCTTTTTGTCATAATGCAAGTCCAAATTTTTATGTCTAGTTTTGTGAACTTATAAAAAAGTTAAACCTCAACAATTTACTTTTGTAAAGAAACAAAACCAATAGTATTCAAATTATATATACTGACTTTTAAACACGTTAAACACGAATAACAGTTCTTTTAGCATAATACGAGTATGCTATTAAAAGTATTAGGGGTCTTGTATGGGTTAACAGAGCTAGATTAGTTTATTTATTTCTTAAACATAATATCGTATAGATTTTTGCTTTGGGTATTGCAACTGATATTGAAATAATCTTTGTTTTGCAGAAGATTTATTACAGCGTTTTATAACATATAATCAATTTTACTGGTCATATCACCCCGCCGGTGTCATAATAAGCGATGGAGAGTAACTAAAATAGGTATTGGGGAGCAGCATGCTCAGAATAACAGGTGAATAAAAAAAACTGCACGTGCAAACCAGATTGCCAAGCGTGGCAAAAATGGTAAATGGCACCTCTACGAGGCAATTTATGGAGACTATTATCAACAAAGAATTTTGATAGGTTGCATGTAATAGACGCATTCCGTCTTAGTTTTAAGAGGTGACAACGGCTTTTGACTCCTAATTGAGACGAGGTGTCTACACTTTCCAATAGGTGAACTGTGTGCTCGTTTGTATTATGTAACCAGAAGTATAAAAAAACTTTCGTTTCGTTTAGTTTTGACTAATAGATAGTAAATAAAAGTATTTAAAAAGACATGCGTGTGCACGTGCGCGTCTGTAAGTGTACGTGTACGTGTACGCGTGTGTGTGCATGAGCGTGTACGTGTGCGTGTGTTGTACATGCGTGCGTGTGCCAGTACCTGGCACGCTGCTCGGCCTGTCGCTCGCGCTGGTGCGGCCACAGCGTGCGGCGCACGTGCTGCACGGCGCCCGCACAACGCGCGTCTAGCGCCGCCAGCTTGCGCAGCAGTATGCCGATGAAGTGCGGCCCGTCGCCTGTCATCACCACCACATGTACTCTACTTACTCGTAATCCACCGCTCTCTCAGATACATCGGATTATTACGTGCTAGTGCCACGATACAGTTACATTATTCAGACGTGGTAGAGCCATGCTGCAGTTATATTAGTAGTATAGTTGTAGCACGAATGGGTCGGCTCGACCGGGGAAGGACCACGCTCTCACAGAATACCAGCGTGAAATAGTAGCTTAATGCTGCTGTATTTCGGATGGTGAGTGTAGAGAACCGGAGACCCTTTTTACTGGAAACGAGGCATTCCATCTCAGTCCTCACGGGTGACAACGCATCTGCATTTTGATTTTTAATGGAGGATAGATGTAGATGTCTATGGGCCGCAGCAACCACTTACCATCAGGTGGACTGTGTGCTCGTTTGTCACCCTATTCTATAAAAAAAAAAAAAAAAACATTACGCTTGCAAAAGCACGAATGGGCCAGTTCCACCAGTAAGATTACGCTCTCACAGAATACCAATGTGAAATAGTAGCTTACTATGTTATTGTCTTACTTCTGCTGTGTTTCGTATGGTAGTTTAGGGAACCGGAGACTATTTTTAATGGAAACGAGGCATTCCATCTCAATTCTCATGGGTGTCAATGCATCTGCACTTTGATTCTTATTTGAGGATACATGTAGATGTCTATGGGCCACAACATCTACTTACAATCAGGTGGATTGTGTATTCGTTTGTTAATTCTCATTCTATAAAAATAAAGTCGGACCTTAGACGTACTATTTCATCGACAACGTATCAAAATCATCGTCAGCAATCCGTAGTAAGGGTCTTCATGTAAAAAAAAACGTAATCATCACACTAAGATTTCCTCCTGTATTGTGGAAGCAGTTTACATAAATACACAAGGACAAACATCTACACCCGGAACAATTATTTGTAAACCATACAAATATTTGTACCTCACGGCCACTGCACTTATCAATGCACTTCTACGCCACTACGTTAAGCCACAGAATAAATAATAGTACTACGTACAGAAGTTGCACTCCTTTGATATCGACTGCTTACCGACGTTAAATAGCCTACATAATTATTATTAATCAGATAAATCGCGCACGCAAGCTAAATAAAACTTTATCACTGCGCGTTAGTGTCCATATTACTTTGCATCTTTTTCGCTTCCTAAGTCACGGCGGACTTTCCGTGGTTATTAAGGGATGTCAATAGAAAGTAAAAAAATACATTCCGAAATGTTAGTTATGTTACTTACGTGAAGTACCTATTCCGACTATGATCGACTGACCATACTTTCGCCCCTATGTGAGTTCTGCGATGCCTAACGCATGCAAATTGCAAGGTCATTCGTCGGGAATCGCAACGCTTATAGGTAGATAGTTAAAACAACAAATAAACCTGAAATGCGATTCCTAACAGTAATGTGATCTATTATTCTATTTAGTTAAAATTCTTTTTAGTAAATGTTATGTCGGTACTTCGATAATAAATGTAATGTGAGTTAATTTAAGTTTTCAATAAACAGTCGTTACCAGATCTCTGCCTTTTATTGACGTGTACATTACATGGGCGCAGTCGGTCTAGAAGTTCGGTACTTACGTGGAATTTTGTTTGACATAATGCCGATTGGGAAAATAGAACCTTTTAATATCGAAAGCTAAAATTTTATGTTCACCCGCGGAACCGGACACAAAGAAGTTCGAAGAATTGGTTACACTCGTCAAAAATCATTTGGAGCCGGAGAGATCTGAAATAGCGGAGCGACACATTTTTCGGCAGCGGACGCAACAGCAGGGAGAAAGTATTTGTGTTTACCTACATGGTCTAAAACACTTGGCTAAAACCTGCAACTTCGGTAATACTCTGGAAGAATACCTTCGTGATCAGTTCGTGTCGGGTTTATATAGCGAAGAGATGCGGTCAAGATTGTTTGCCGAAAAGAGTATAAACTACAAAAGGGCTGTGGAGTTGGCCACGGCGCTCGTAGTTTGTTGTCACGTAGACGTTGGACGGTTTTTTTTGATGGTTGATATATCTACAAATTAGAGCTCCCAAATCATGTCTCTCAGTTTTGGCCTAAACATGCATCGGGAGAACGATTATTACTAGATAAATAAATAAGTTAATTAGGGACTACTTTTTATTCCAAACTTAAAAAATGACCTTCAGGGACAGTGATTTGCTGACGATAAAGAGCTCAAGTCAAGCATTTTTCAGGCCTAGACGAAGAATATTTTTCCAAGGGAATAAAAAAAAGCTTTTTTCACGAACAAGTAAATGTATTGATGCCATGGGGGACTATAATGAAAAATAAAAATTATTTTTAATTTATTCTTTTTTCTAACATACCCATACCGACAAATGGAGAATACATTAAATGCCCCTCGTATATACATATAAAAATGAAATGTATTGATATTGTTGTAATTGCATCGTTGGGCGCTTAACCATTAGTTGCTGGGCTATTTTCATCACCATTACTTGGTACTTAAGTTGACAAATAACAATATAATATCAACCCCCTACACATTTTATAAGCAAATGCAATTGCAATTTAATTGCAAATGTAGAATAGTAATCTGCAGTTGACATGAGCAAACATGAGCAATAAAGATTAAACGAAAACCAGAGTTTTATTTATGATTCAATGTTGTTAGGCAATACCTATTTATAAAGGCTAAACGGATTAACAGCAGATATAAAAATGTTAAAGGCGGAACTTATTGCCTTAGTCCAGCGTCATAAGCCACCAACTCCTTGCCTATGCTCTGGACGAGATAGCAATAGAAAAAGGCCACCAGGTCCTTCGACTATCACCCTACCATTGCCAGTATAACGCTATTGAGCTAATTTGGGGCCAAATAAAAGGTATGCTTTTAATTTCAATTCACATTTTGAAGCTTTATAAAAAAATCAGCTTTCCGAACGTAGCATGTAGTTTAAAAACATTACCAGATACTAGATTAGACGTATTTCGAGTGTAATTTTTAGCATTACCTATAAACTAATTGATTGTTTCTAAATATTTTTTATTCATAAGTCCGTTTATTTTTAAGAAATGCCGCAAGAAATAATACTTCGCCGCCATTTACGGCAAATAAAATGTTGGCCCTAGAACAAGAGGCCATCAACAATGTTCAACACGAAGATTTTGCTGCCCTGAGTCAGATGAAGCTGTAAGAGTCATATAGACTAACAGTTAACAAGTAAAACGAAACGTTACTGAAACTGTAACCCGCACCATGCTACAGCGCACATAGTATAGGAGCTGAGCTATATAATTTCTAAGTAGATATTCATGCAGTTTTTTCTAAATACTATAAAAATTGAAAACCATAGCATAGATTTTGTTTTATTTTTGTAATTAACATAAATGTAGGTATACAAATTGCAAGACATATTTGACACAAGACGCAAAAGTAAAATATAAAATCTTTTGTTTATTACCTATATTAGTTCGTAAACAAAGGTAAAAACAAATTCTTTTCCAAAAATGTATGTAATTTTTAACAAGTGACTTACCGATGGGTTCTTGTGTGATGGGGCCGGGCTCCTCCAGCGAGAAAGAGTCCAACCGGCCGGAAAGTTGGGAGTGCAGCTTGAGGAGCAATGATATTATCGACTCGTTCACTGGGATCGACTCGTCCGGCTGCGAGTGCACTTGCATCTGTTGGTGACAAAACATATTTTAATGCAAACTACGATTTGACTGTCTGATATAATTTCATGTCGTGTAATTTCAAGTTGTACAGAGAATGTGTAAGTATGAAATTGGATATGTTGCGAAAATTTGAATATATTTTGTTGTATGGTGGCAGTTTAAGATATTCCATCAACCCACTTTGTTGCAAGAGATAGGAAAAAACTTATGGCCTTCGATAAATGGCAGTATATCTTCGACTACGAATCAAAATGAAGATGCGTTGTCATCCGTGAGGACTAAGATGGAATGCTTCGTTTCCAGTAAAATGGCTATCCGGTACTCTACACTCACCATACAAAACACAGCAGCGTTAAGCTGCTATTTAACGCTGATATTCTGAGAGAGCACGGTCCTAAGCCGATCGAGTCGACTCAATTGTGCCACAACTGGTGGCACAATTGAGTCTACCAATATAGCTGCAGCATGCATGGCTCTACACGTATAAAATATAATAATTTATTATTGATAATGTACTTAAATAATGTGACAAAGCACATCATCCCAACGCGCTTGTGTGTGTGTGACAGTCCTCTTGATGTTAAGTAGCATATTGACACTTGTAATGAACTCAATACAAAGGTTAACAGGAGGCTTAATACTTGTGGGTATTATGAAGGAATGCCTCACAACCTATCATTATACTGGCTCTCAGCTAGTAGTAGTTGCAATTCTACTAGGCAGTAGAAACAGCTACGAGAGTGCTCGCATGAAGACCTTGGCAGAAAACAAGCTCCACTACCAGTAAGCGCTCTTATATGTGTGCGCACGTGTGCGTGCGTGTGTGTACGTTTGCGTGCATGCAAGCGTGCATGTGTGTATTTGTGCGGTGCTGCGTTCGGTTAAAAAAGGCGACCCGTAGATGGACAATCGTCTGCTGCAATTAGCGATTGCCCGCGGAGTTTTCCGAAGACCTACGGGCCTACGCTCCGTACTTCGCGTGGTACCAGCACATTGGGTATTTACGATAGCTGGAATTGGATCTGCTTCTCTGTCTCGAAGAAGAACGTCGACGATCATGCGCACTGGAACGACAACAGCTAGTAGAACAGCATATTGCACGGATATTCCCTTTCAGTTAAAGTGTTAGCTGATCCATCATTTTCTTCAACTCTGCTATCTCATCGAACGGATCAGATCACAGAAATCTTAATAATAAAGCACTAGAAATGCCTTCTATTGTCGTTTAATATCGGGACGCGTGTCACCCGTTCGCAGCTATCACACATAGACAAACAATAAATACACAATTACGCCTACACATATCTCTAGCATTCATGCAACAAAGATTAAATTATAAAACTATTGAGTTAAGGAATATTTTATAAAAACGTAAAATCTCAGGAGGCGTAGCCACTCTGTCCAATAATTAACGTATGCGAAAAACAGAGAACGACATTGCGCGATCACTTTCACTCGGGCATAGTGCAGCACAACGCACGTTTCGATAACTTTCTATTAAGCGTCGTGATCGCCAAGGAGTCTCACAACAATATATTACTAATTAACTGAAAATATGAGTTATAGACACTTTTAGTCCTTAGCTTTTAGACGTTTTATAATTAGAGAAAAGTGGATATAATAAAACGTTAAATCTTTAATATCTGGATCTTTTGGAAAACTGGAATAATGGCATTGTATTAAATAAACAGATGTTTTAATAAAATAAATACAACATTATACAAACTGCAAACAAATAAATATGTATGTGTGACATATTTATTATTTTTATTAGTTTTAAAGATCTGTAACTGACTTTCTATTGTTTATTTTTCAGTTACCCGGCTTCTTACAGATCGAATTTATTTACTATCCTTACAATATAATTACATATCCTTACAATATATTAAAACTGCATAAAAATTTATCAAGTAATATAAAAGTACAAACTAGCAGATAATCGCTGATAAACGGTTAACGGTATAATATATATATATATATATATATATATATATATATATATATATTTAGAAAGAAAAAAAATAGATAAGGTTTAAATAAATATTTAACGAAAAATCACATTTCATTCCCATTTCGGTAAAACTATGTAAGCTAAACATAATAAATTATCGATATGAAATAGTAGTGTCGTCACTGACTAGCGTTCGACTTCTCCGGCCTGTAATCCTGTGTTCTTGGAAATCTACGTACGCGACAACATTGTTTATTGCGTACTCGTAGACATGAAGTAGCTTAAGAATCGATGGATATTGAAATGTGAAAACAATTAAATTTTCGGAGACAATCATAGTACTGGAGGTGAACAATTTTATTTAAGTATATTTTATTAAAAACAACATTATTTAAAACACTAAGTACTTATTAAATGTTAAAAAAAATGTTATGAAATGTTATCCCTTTATTTGAAAATTTGCAAGTTGTGGAAGAATTTCCGCTGTTGAATATGCTTCAAAACACCATTTTTACGTCTCTACGTCCGAAGCAATACTGGTGACCGAAACAAACGCTCCTCGCACGCTTGTGGCCTACGAGTCACATGTGCGGCGACAAGGTCACGCGCTTTTACGACTTCTATTGCCTTATTATTTAGATATCTGTGGATCCCACAGTAAGATGCGGCAGCGACACATTGTGCACAACAACAACGTCAGCTCCTGTATGCGATCATTTAGGTTTGCAAGTTGCTCTAGTGAATACGTCGGTTGCGAAACAAGCACAGTCTGGATATTATGCGTCAGGCGATTGCTTCAAATCGACCTAATGAAGTCTTCAGAAACTAAAGGACCAGCCAAATCCTGAAGCACCTAGCTTCAAGCCAAATACTGTCTCCAAGCTCTTCATGACAATAATATCCTTAACGGCTTTTACGTACTGAATATAGAAATGATTGGTCACTTCCGTGAACTTAATTAAATTGTTACTGCTGTCATGCCTAGCAAACTGACCTTCAATTAGTGCAAACCAAAGTTTGGATCGTCAGGTGAGAATGGTGGAACTTTTTTCATTTAGGCACATATTAATTTTTACGTTCAATGGAAACGCGCACTGGGTGTGTCCGTCATTTAGTGCGACGTTGGCGTTGAGGCGCAGATCCAACTCCTTTCGCGGAATCACTGCTATCACTCATCTTAATCATTGTGTCCTTATCGGGGTCACCAGTTATAGTGAGGTGGTATGTGTGTGTGATAGAATATATGTAGGTCACTGTTCAAAATTATTTGAATCCAAGTGTACACAGTAGAGTTAGTATTTCGTTATTATAGACAGGCACACAGTAGGTATGTTCCAAAATAGAACCTAGTGTACTGTCCAATGCAAATGACGTCATGAATCGACACCATACTGGTGATTCGTTCCAAAACACAGGACAGTATATGACGTCATACATTTGCGTCATATTGGAAAAGTGTTGGCGATTATTTTGTCATTTTGTGCTCCAAAAATCATTATATCCTCCTAATGGAGATACCAGCAATTATTCTATAATTTTTTGTATTTGAATAAATAAAAACAAAGTCTTGCATGCTTCATTCAGTGTACACACAATTAAAAATTGTTTTAATATGTTTTAATATTCGACACAATATGGCGGTGGCACTCCACTACAATATGTCGTCAATTGATGACGTCATTTGTATTCGGCAGAATACTGGAAACGTTTCGGAACATACCCAGTATATATGGTTAAACGAGACACAATATAAAAGTTAATAGCTATATGAAATTAAAGGAGTAGAAAGCGATCGTATAAAGCAAATATTAGAAAGTTAACATTCGCGAGATGACAAACGGGCAATACGGCTAGCAAGGCGACATGGGCTTCGTATGCTGTCTGTGGTTTAGCGCGTTTTTAATATACTATAATATATCTATATCTAATATCTAAATAGTAAAGTAAGTAATCTATTATTAAATATTATGTTTTTAATGTGATTATTTTGTAACTATGAATTTTATATTATTTCATGAAAGTAATTAGTTAGATATAAGTAAAGACTTTATATATATATATATATATATATATATATATATATATATATTTTTTTTTTTTTTTTACTATTCATCTTATAAATTTACAAAATTATATTATACCGATATAAATTACTTGTTATAAGTGAGCGATATGTGTATGTAGGCATAATATACAATAAGAAGGCTAGATGTGCATGCATATGAATATGTGCGTGTGCATGCCTGCGTGTCGGACGCGGAGTGCTCGGGCTCCCCAGCGAGCTCGAGGTCCAGCGAGCCCGCCGCCTGCTGCTGCGGCGCGGGCAGCGCCTGCCACGGGGACTCCGCGCCCTCCGCCTCCGCTATGTCTGCACATATTATCATTACAACACTTACGATTTACAGAACTTATTCTAATCAACACTATTATAATGATGTAATACAAGCAATACCTATATATCCTAGTGTTGATTTAACGATTTAATTCAACGTTTATAAAACATGATTTTAAGTTTGTAACAAGAGATACACGAAAGCAATTTAAAAAAATCAGAATATGAAAATTACTAGCTAATTATTGTATAATGAAAGTTTAGATAAAAACCAGTTAAAAAAAGAACATTTAATTATTGGACGAAAAATATTTTGTACGAAGCAGTAGAAGCAATCTCAATATTCGAATAAACATACCATATTCGATCGGTACCGGCGGTGTGTCCAAATCGCCATCTGCCGGAATCGCCAGGGTCATTTGGTTATCTGATTCCATATCTGAATCTGTAAGTGTCTGTAGGACTAGAGCTTGGCTCTCCCCACTCCCACTCTGTAACAAAACGAATGCAATAATCATTACACAACTTGTTTTTAAACTTCAAATAATATCCCGTTTTAAAAACTTACATGCAATCCTTGCGGATAAAGAACGGAATTGGGAATGGCGGCTCATCGCTACCGCTAACAACGGTATATCGTTATAATAATAGTATATCGTTATAATAACGGTATAATCGTTACAGCCTTATTTTATTCAGTTAATTGGAAATATTCTATTAATGAGAAAATATTTGAAAAAAAAAATGTATACGCAAGTAGGTGCATTAATTTAAAATAATATTTATAACTAGCGACCCGCTCTCTCCCGTCTTCGCCTGGGTGGATTCTACGAGGGGATGTCAAAACGTTTGCGGAGTGGCGGGGTTAGCGAGGGTGAGTTTACTCATGTAGGTAGTCGCTAGTTGAATGACTAATTGTTAGTATATATACCAAGTTTCAGCCTAATCGAATCATTCCACTCGATCCTGTGACAGTAGATGAAGTCACTGAAACCATCAAAAGCCTTAAGAATAGATCAGCCCCTGGGCCAGACGGCATCAGCAATAAGGTGATCAAATCCCTTTCGGCGCCACTTATTTACCTCCTTGTAGGAATATTTAACACTTTTCTCACGAACTGCTCTTTCTCGGACATCTGGAAAGAAGCAGACGTAATAGGGATCCCAAAACCGGGTAAACCGCGTATTCGTCCCTCTAGCTATAGAGCCATTAGTGTGCTCAACACTTTGGGTAAACTATACGAGCGCATTATTCACATGCATCTCCGTCATTACACCGAATCTCACAGACTCCTCCCAGACGAGCAGTTCGGCTTTAGAGCCAATCACTCATGCAGCCACCAGATTCATCGCCTAACAGAATACATTCTGTATTCTGTCTGGCTTCAACCAAAACCCGTCAAGAAAAAAATCTCGAAACACGGGAGCCCTCTTCTTTGATGTTGCGAAGGCGTTTGACAAGGTCTGGCACGACGGCTTGATTTACAAGCTGTACAAACTAAACGTGCCCGATAGGGTCGTGCACATCATACGAGCCTTCCTTTCGAACCGCACTTTTCGATATCGAGTGGAGGGAACCCGTTCTTCGAAACGCTTCCTCAAGGCCGGGGTCCCACAAAGCTCCGTCCTATCTCCACTCCTCTTCACACTCTTCACGAGTGATATCCCTAAAGACCCCGTGGTCAACACCGCACTCTTCGCCGACGATACGGCACTTTATGTCTCAGACTACAACAAAAATAGCCTCTCCTTGAAGCTCCAAAAAGCCACCAATCGCCTAGGTGAATGGTTCCGCCAATGGAGAATTGACGTGAATCCCGAAAAGAGTGTAGCAGTATACTTTCAACGGAATTCAACATCAGGTTCCTAACCAAAAACGATTTCTCTGTACGACCGCCCAATCCCTTGGGAAAAATCGGCCAAATATCTAGGCGTCACGTTAAACTCCCGCATGAGTTTCGCGACGCACATAAGTGTAGTACGCAACAGAGCCAAGTCAGTAATGGGCCGCCTACACCCTCTCGGGTGTAACAGCAAGAGTAAGCTGTCGCTAAGACACAAACTCCGACTGTACAAAACCTGCGTTAGACCAATAATGTTCTACGCAAGTGTAGCTTTCGTCCACACATATAAGACCCACATTTTAAAACTCCAAAGAGTACAAAACTTTTTCATCCGAAAAGCCACCGGTGCACGGTGGTATCAACGGAACTCTGATTTACACAATGATTGTGAATTACCATCTATCTCCGAATACTTTAAGGAGATGTCCCAACGTCACTTTGAAGTAGTAATACACTTTGAGTAGAAATACCCTAACCCGCTAGTGAAAAACGCAGCTAACTACGTTCCGATAGTAAACGTCGCGCCCTATCTCCGTAGAGCGCGTAATGTGTTAATAGAACCACCTCAACCGCTCGATCCAGTTGACCCAAACTTCGCAGGCACATCACAAAATGACACTACACCCACACTAAATGGGACAAACATTACTAGGATTACGATTGGGGCGCGTCGCACCCGTAGACGGGCACGACGCGTTCCAGCTCACACCGCGTACACACCGTACACCCGCGTTCCTGGGCGGTTCTCACCGCTCAGACCTTCGACCGACACGAGCTGAGCAGTCAGAGACGGGACTCCGCACTCCCCCCCCCCTCGGACTGCGGTTAGATAACTCAAAAACGCCTAAAAAGGCGACATGATGATTGGTAACAATACCAAATCATAAACCATCCATCATCATCCTCACCTCATTGCCTTTCCCTTTTTTAATTAGGCCTGCAAGGCCGCGAGCCCTGAGTCAGATGAAACTGTCAGAGTCGCATAGACTAACAGCGCTAACATCTAGAAAATAGAGAATCGAATCATTAACTTTTAAATTATCAAAGAGTAAACAAGTCAATCGGGAAGAAACCAGCCACTATGGAGAAAATTGAATATCGCGCCGGCATTCAGTTTCTCACCACACAAGGAAAGGCACCTCAAACCATTTTTCAAGAGATCTACGCGGTTAATGGGGACTCAGCTCCTGGGAAAACCATGATTTATAAAAGGACACGCTCTTTTCAAAAAAGCAGGGACTCCATTGAAGACGACCCCCACCTGGACGGCCGATTGAAGCTACCACGTCAGCAATAATCGAAAAAGTTGAAAATAGTCCGGTCAATCTAAACATTCGGTGATAAATAAAGTTACAACAGGCTGATAATCGGTAAAATTGTTCAAAATATAATTATAAATAATATTTTGAAGTTCCCCACCATTCCTGTATAAAAAATGAGTTTTTCGCGATTTTCGGCAAAACAGTAAGTTTTATCATAAAAATACTCCAGACAAAAGTTGTAGATCATAAAATTAACTATAAAAAATGTATCAATAGTTTTTTTTCTACGAGCCAACGTCTCTGAGATATTAGCATGTACGTAATACGCATATCGCAACGTATTTTTTGTAGTCTTTACCGGCGGATGTGTTGGCGACGTTATTTTCAATCCAATTATTTAACCACACGGGTAGTACAACATATAATTCAAATATTTACCACTCCAAGTAATTTTTTATTGATTTGGGATTATTGTCAGTACATCAGTAAGAAGATTATATTCTAAATGAATTTAAAAAATAATTACGATAAAATAAAAATATACCACTATGTTACAAGATCTACGGTAAAAGATAAATAAGTTATAAACACCCACATTAATTCTTAATATTAAGCTGATGACATTGAGAATTAAATAAATTTCGATGCTAGATATCATCTAACATAAAATTTAAAGTATCCAGCATTACCTGTGAGCGTCTTCATATTCCTTGGTTTTTAAACACTTGGCTAAAAAAGGTAACAAACTGCTGGCAGAGCACATTGTAAAATTACAATGAGAGACGTGATGTATTTTTTTTAATTAAGAAGTATGACTTCTTTGTGAATTATGTGGCAAACAAGACTATGCTCAACATTTTCCAGTAGAATGTACCAAAATTGAAAATAAGAGACAAATATTAAGGCGTCTATGCGTATATGGATAGAACAAATTTGTATATGTATTCAACTCTATGACATATAACAGATGAGGCGTATTGTGGTGTTTAAGTTCATTTTTTAACATCGGTTTGCTTGTTTTGGTATAAGTTAGGGTATGATAGAACTGTCATCGGTACCCTTATTATGAAAATCGCTAAATTGAATTGGAATAATAAAACTCAATGTTATTGTTTCATTGTGGATTTTAGTCAGCAGGTATTAAAAGGTAGTGAAATATTACATCTAAGTCCTTCGAGTTGACAACCCGTACGTAGCCTTCTTTGTCTAAAGTTAGCTGCAGGTGTCCACGGACGGCAGTAGCCACTTGCTGTCAGTGGTGGACGGCAGGTTCGACTGCCACGTCGGTCTTACAAAACCAAACTTTTTGAGTCGAAATCAGTATTCCTGTGATATTCAATTTTGACCACTCAATTACTAAATTTGATAAGTAATTATATTTTCCGCCACTTACACCAGGCTAAGAAATATTCAATCATGTTGTCATCGTTTGCCGGTTAACATCGACTTAATGTTTAACACAATTTCTGTTAATCAATCAATACGTACCAGAATTCATATTTTACATTTTAGTACACCCCAGTTTAATTCATATTTATTAAGATTTAAAATGGACATTCTTGTAATGATTTAACTACAAAAAATAAAAATAAAAAGAGGTACCTCTAAAGCTCTGATTTCGGACGCATCGCCGCCAGCATCTGACTGATCGTCCGTGACTGAGTTTTCGTGTACCAAACGCGCCATCTATGGATCAGATCACATTTAATTGGACAAATATTATTTCAAAGTAACTTAAATTCTATTTCAAGTATTTACCTGCAACGAGGTTGGCACGGCCAGGGCTGTGCTGGTGGCCGGCAGTGAGACCGACTTATTAGGGGGAGGCAATCGTCCTGTTTCTGATTCCGAAGGTTCCCACTCTGTGTCACCTGCAATTAGAAAAAAAATTTATGTACAATCGTAATTCTTGTTAAATAAATACACAGAGTATAAATAAACAAATATATCTTTATAATAAATTCTCATTTCAACAGGTTCTATATTTGTAAGTCCAAATTTCGATATATTATCTCCACGTTTATGAGTCTATAGACTTCTTCAATTTTGTTTTAGAAGGATATTCTATATATATCACCAAATAGTATATCACTAAAGTTTTTGTTTCATATGTTTCGGGAAGAAGCGATGATATAATATCCAAACTATTAATTTAAAGTATTGTATAATAGATTTTATATATTTAAATATTTTATATTTTATAATAAATAATAAAATCTATTTTTAAATTTTTGAAATAAAAATATTATACGGTTAGTCACCAAAGTTAGTAGTGAGGATAGAGTGAATGACACCAACATCCATTTTTTGACTTAGAACGACTACTACTATTTAGAATTAAAAATATAATTAATTATATCTATAAAATTATTAGAAAGTCGATATTACATGCGGCGCATATATACATTTTTTTATCGAACAAAGGTTTATTCTCTGAAATGGAATTAGAGATCAAAAATATAAATATTATTCATTGGGTCTACCAGCGATTTTACATTACGTATGTAACATATATTGCTTAAAGTATATACATTACATGCACATAGTATGTAAAATCATTTAAAGGTAAACACTTCATGCTATTTTTGCTAGTATTACTTAATAAATCTAAAAGTGAGTTAAAAGCAGAAACAATCCAAAAACAAAAAAAAAACGATATGCTTAACAGTAATTTGGTAAAAGAAAAATTTATCAATTAAACAGTTTGAAAAGACTTTTAATTTAATCTGACTAATAATTAGTGTTTGAATTAAAATTACAACTAAACTTAACAATTATCATAGTCTAACCCTACTTAATATAATATTATATAATAAAATAAACTAAAATTAAATGTACGTAATACTAAATAAATATGAGAAAGATCACGCGTAGGGTGAATGGCTGACAAGGTTTCTGATAATTATTTTGCGAAAAGTGTTAGTCGAATTAATGTTGATGTCAATTAACTGATTGAATTTATTATATATTTTACACAAACGAGAGATCGTGCAGTTTGCGCCAAAGACTGTTCTGGTGCGTGGAGGCACGACCGAGGTAATTGCTGTACGCGAATATCTGTAATACGTGGTACTCGGAAATTAATTTTACTTAGTAAATTGGGACAGTGTAACTTATTTCTAAGTAATTTGATGTAAATGTAGACAAATAAATGTCATAGTCAACGCGATATTTAAGAGGTAATCAACATTTTCCGACATATTCTTATTAATATTTAATTCCAATTCTTAATCAAAATAGAACATTTAAATTTTTTATTAACAAAGTTTTCATATTTATTTTATTATTTAATAATCCTTTACATTTCAATCGTTACAGCTATGTAAAAATGACCATAAAACCCATATTTTGTATTAACAAAATATGGGTTTAATAAAAAAATGTAATATAATTTATTCACTCTGTGACAGTGAAGAATCCGAGTAGCTTAATGGTGAAGAGTCAGAATCAGTTACACTTATTGTTAACTGACTCAACTAATCTGTCACCGTATCAATAACGCGATCTAGGAAACTCACACGTTATTCTTTTCTTTTATAATGTGTTAGACACTATCGCTATTTCGCTATTCCGTAGAAGATTTTTCCACGACTAGACCGAAAGCTTGATTTTCTCTTTTCACGATTTCTAACTATTGAGCAATTATAATATTTTTTTAGGTAAATTTTATTTTTAGATATAAGCCATTCTATAATTTTGGACAAGTTCTAGTTTTCGGGAGCATTCATCATCATCATTACAGCCGTTCACAAGTCCATTGCTGAACATAGGGCTCCCCTAAGGAATGTCATGAAGCACGGTCCTAAACCAGCTGCATCGATCGACTGCATGTCTTACCCAGTCGTTACTCCACCTACACTTCATCTACCAGTACGAGGCTGCCACTCAAAAACTTTTTTTCTCCATAGGTTATCGGTTCTTCGAGCTATATGGCCGGTCCATCGCCACTTCAGCTTCCTAATTCGTAGAGCTATGTCGGTTGCTCTGTTTATCACGCAGAGAAACCCCTAACATAGCCCTCCCCTTAGCTCGCTGAACGATCTTAAGCTGCCTCATACGGGCAGCACTGAAGGACCACGTCACAAATCCATAAGTCATCACTGGCAACACGCACTGGTTGTACAATTTAGTTTTCAGGTTTTGAGGTGTACATGACGAGAAGATGTGTCGTAATCCCCCGAACGCTGCCCAGCCGAGTTGAATCCATCGATTAACCTCTCGGTTGAAGATCGGCTTACCTAATCGAATTATTTGTCCCAGGTAAACATAGTCAACAACTTCGAGTTTAGTACTCCCAATAACTGGCATAGATATAAAATGATAGTTACATCTGATATTTGTTTTGTCCATGTTCATCTTAAGACCTTTCCGTTGGAAGATACTATTAAGGTACTTGAGAATGGTTCTTACGTCCTTTAGCGATTCTGTCATAAGGACTATATTTTCTGGAAATCGAAGGCGGACTGCTCTGCTGTGCTCGCTATTGATGTTAATACTGTATCCTTTCTAGTCACTGGACTGCTTGAAAACGTCTTTCAATAAAGCCGTAAATAGTTTCGGAGATATAACGTCTCCTTGTAAGGAGCATTATCTAAAACTAATAAAGAATTGCTCTTTAATTTTGGCAGAATGCCTTTTAACCAAGCAATTTTTTGGTGATAACGAAAAATTTATTTCATTGATTCCATTGTTTAGCCTAATGTTTAGAGCCTCTTCCTTATTAAGACTAAAAAAACATTGCATGGATTTAGTTTGTTATCTGTTATATATTAATTTTAGATCGCATTTTACGTCACTTTGATGCTGACATATGTGTGCAATGTGTTGTTGTATTTTTTATATTTAAGATATGCATACAATTTTGACATAATGATTTAGAACTTTTCGCAATGAGATATTCATTTTGAATTGGCAGCATCTTAGTTGACATTTTGATCGCGGATCCTATTTCAGAGTGAAGTTATAGGTTAGAAGTCTATGGAAATGTATGGAGGACCACATATTATTAACTCGAAAGTTTTTTAAATAAAACAAAAAGTGACAAACAAATTTAACCTACATGATGATGGCACCACCTTTTAGCAGAAGACATCTCTAATGTAACAGTGTGCGTGTGTGTGTGGGTGCGTGTGTGTGTGGGTGCGTGTGTGTGTGGGTGCGTGTGTGTGTGTGGGTGCGTGTGTGTGTGGGTGCGTGTGTGTGGTGGGTGCGTGTGTGTGTGTGGGTGCGTGTGTGTGTGGGTGCGTGTGTGTGTGCGTGTGTGTGTGTGGGTGCGTGTGTGTGTGTGGGTGCGTGTGTGTGTGGGTGCGTGTGTGTGTTGGGTGCGTGTGTGTGTGTGGGTGCGTGTGTGTGTGGGTGCGTGTGTGTGTGGGTGCGTGTGTGTGTGCGGTGTGTGTGGGTGCGTGTGTGTGTGTGGGTGCGTGTGTGTGTGTGTGTGTGTGTGTGTGTGTGTGTGTGTGTGTGGGTGCGTGTGTGTGTGAGTGTGTGTGTGTGGGTGCGTGTGTGTGTGGGGTGCGTGTGTGTGTGGGTGCGTGTGTGTGTGGGTGCGTGTGTGTGTGGGTGCGTGTGTGTGTGTGGGTGCGTGTGTGTGTGTGGGTGCGTGTGTGTGTTGTGCGTGTGTGTGTGTGTGCGTGTGTGTGGGTGCGTGTGTGTGTGGGTGCGTGTGTGTGTGTGGGTGCGTGTGTGTGTGGGTGGCGTGTGTGTGTGGGTGCGTGTGTGTGTGTGGGTGCGTGTGTGTGTGGGTGCGTGTGTGTGGGTGCGTGTGTGTGTGTGTGTGTGTGTGTGTGTGTGTGTGTGTGTGTGTGTGTGTGTGTGTGTGTGTGTGGGTGCGTGGTGTGTGTGTGGGTGCGTGTGTGTGTGTGTGTGTGTGCGTGTGTGTGGGTGCGTGTGTGTGTGTGGGTGCGTGTGTGGGTGCGTGTGTGTGTGGGTGCGTGTGTGTGTGGGTGCGTGTGTGTGTGTGTGGGTGCGCGTGTGCGTGTGGGTGCGCGTGTGTGTGTGGGTGCGTGTGTGTGTGGGTGCGTGTGTGTGTGTGGGTGCGTGTGTGTGTGGGTGCGTGTGTGTGTGTGGTGCGTGTGTGTGTGCGTGCGTGTGGGTGCGTGTGTGGGTGCGCGTGTGTGTGTGGGCGGCGCGTGTGTGTGTGGGTGCGTGTGTGTGTGGGTGCGTGTGTGTGTGTGTGCGTGTGTGTGTGGGTGCGTGTGTGTGTGTGGGTGCGTGTGTGTGTGGGTGCGTGTGTGTGTGTGAGTGAGTGGGTGCGTGTGTGTGTGTGTGTGTGTGTGTGTGTGTGTGTGTGTGTGTGTGTGTGTGTGTGTGTGGGTGTGTGTGTGTGTGTGGGTGCGTGTGTGTGTATGTGTGGGTGCGTGTGTGTGTGTGTGTGTGTGTGTGTGTGTGTGTGGGTGTGTGTGTGGGTGCGTGTGTGTGTGTGTGTGTGTGTGTGTGTGTGTGTGTGTGTGTGTGTGTGTGTGTGTGTGGTGTGTGTGTGCGTGTGTGTGTGTGTGGGTGCGTGTGTGTGTGGGTGCGTGTGTGTGTAGGTGCGTGTGTGTGTTGTGTGGGTGTGTGTGTGTGTGTGTGTGTGTGGGTGCGTGTGTGTGTGGGTGCGTGTGTGTGTGTGTGTGTGGGTGCGTGTGTGTGTGGGTGCGTGTGTGTGTAGGTGCGTGTGTGTGTGTGGGTGCGTGTGTGTGTGTGGGTGCGTGTGTGTGTGTGGGTGCGTGTGGGTGCGTGTGTGTGTGGGTGCGTGTGTGTGTGGGTGCGTGTGTGTGTGGGTGCGTGTGTGTGTGGGTGCGTGTGTGTGTGGGTGCGTGTGTGTGTGGGTGCGTGTGTGTGTGGTGCGTGTGGGTGCGTGTGCGTGTGCGTGCGCGTGCGCGTGCGTGTGTGTGCGTGCGTGTGTGTGTGTGTGTGTGTGTGTGTGTGTGTGTGTGTGTGTGTGTGTGTGTGTGTGTGTGTGTGTGTGTGTGTGTGTGTGTGTGGGTGCGTGCACTGTGCTGTGCTATGCTTGTACTCACTGTCAGAGTGCGCATGTGTGTGCGTGCGCTGTGCTGTGTTGTGCGTGTACTCACTGTCAGAGTGCGCATGCGTGTGCGGGCGCGGGTAGAGGTGCGGGCGCGCGCGATGCAGCGGCGGCACGGCGGCTACCACGGTGCGCGCGTTGTCGCAGAGCGCTCCGCCCGCGAATGCACGCAGCAGCGGCACGCCGCGCACCGCCCGCCGCCCACCACCGCACGCGCCGCCCGCGCGCACCGCCACTGCCGCCGCCGCCGCAGCCGCCTGCGACACGACCACCTCGTCTTAACTACACTGCTGGACACACTGGGTCGTACTCTACAGGGTACGCGGCGAGGCACCATTAACACTGTTCCCCGTAGTCAGTCTAGGTATTTTATGACCGGCGTTTACACGGTTATAACGATACGTATCGAAGTAACCGTGTCAACCATATATCACAACCCAAAATGTATTCGTGGAATTTTCTATAGTCACCGAACGAAATATAATGAAGGACACTCTTACACTCCCATTACACGATACACCGCAAATACACACAGAACAAATCCTGTTCTCAACAAGAGTGAATCATGAGTGTATTGTACGAGCTATCCTACTTGTATACATAATATTATTTTGTGCATGAACTTGGCTTCAGTTTACATACACCTTTTTTCACACTCGTCCAAATTTTATCAAACTATCAATTAATGAGTGACTGAGCACTCAGCACGATCGGTTTTATTTATTATTATAAAATTTACCCGCGATATTTAGCATTACTTATGAAGTGTTTAACAAACACGGTACATTGTTTTAGTCCTTCGAGCCGTATATAAAACCGCCATCTATGGATCTCTCAACCTATAAACCTCCTACAATAGTCATTTCTAATTTTAATGGGAAAGGATGCTATATAAACTGATTCGATGAATAATAAAAATAAGTATATGAGACAATAATGCTGATCGGGCGATATGTGCGGTTGCACCGTACAGGTTTTCTCAAGTACATATTTTCATAACAACGTTTATTATGCTCTGAGCTATCACGATTTATTTTATATTTAACATAAATACAAGATGGTTATATCGCTATTTGCCATAAACTACAAGTTATTCGTACTTTATCTCCACCTCATTGCACCTTTTGCATGGGATTCAGTGATCGAAGAAATTATTTTCATAGCTAAGCATAACAGTAAAATATCTTTAAAAAACTGTAAACGTATATTGTAGAAATTTTAACATTATAGAAAAAATTGTAAAATAAAAATACATTAATTTCTCAACAAACTTTTTCATTAATTTGTAGTGAGACATCTCTCCAGACAGTAATTTAATATACTCTTGTTGGGGTGTTCGCTCTTACACTGGTGCTTAACAATTATCGAGATCCTAAAATTTAACAGTACACATATTTGTGTATTACATAAAACTAAACTAAAACCTTATTTACTAATTTATGTTTGTTTCTGTAAGCGATATGTAACGTGTGTATCAGTAAAATTTATTTTACTAATACACACGCTACATAGACGCTACAAGACTCATTTTACTATGTACAATTGCGTTACAAAACTTCATTTCTGTTCTGCAGCAGTGTAAATTGAGCCTAACGTTTTACACAAAAACCTTGAGTGGCGGCCGTGTCAGTGATCTCACAGCGCTCGTAGATAATATGTCGGCACGTGTCGGTAATAAAAATATAAATTTAAATAATACTAATTTTACGGATTCTATCGCGTTTATTTAACTTTTTAAATACCCGACGTTTCGAGCGCTTTACAGCACCCATGGTCACGGGGGGTACTGAGATGTTCAATGTTCAAATGTCATAGTTAACCGCGGTTATCATAGATTAAAATTTAACTTTTGTTCCGATCCACATAGTATGAACTTATGGTATCTTGAAGTCTTGCAGTTGTGTACTTGGGTTGAGATTTAATTTTATTTATTATAGGATCACAAGCAGATGGTAGCACCCAGCCATCTTCTCTATTGAAATTAGGATGTAATTTGATTTCAATAGCCTAGCGAATCATACTTGGAAGGAATCGGTGTTCTTTAGCGAAGATTTGTGGTCTATCAAATCTTACTTTATCTAAAGGTAGAATTGCATCTAAATTGGATGCAATTCTACCTTTAGATAAAGTAACTGCATTTTAGACCATCTTAACTCTATAAATTCTAAAATTCAGTTCAGAATGGAGTTAGGTTTGCCTCTAAGTCCATTCTGAACTGAATTTCTTTAGCTTTTCTAGATGTGTTAGTAATTGGGAATCCTAATAACACCTTGAGCCATACTGTGTATAGAAAAAAGACCCATACAGATAGATATTTAAACGGTGATTCTCACCACCATCTTTCACAGTTAGATACCGTGGGTAAATCTTTGTTTCAGAGAGCACGAGGGATCTGTGACAGTAAACACCTGGCTGCCGAGCTCCACCACGTCAAGCAAGTTTTGCATGACAACAAACTTCGGGTCCCGCGCCTACGTCACAGTGAACGAGTGAAACCGGCCACAGTCGAGCGTGTACCTGCTGTACTGTCATATGTTAGAGGAGTCACTGACAAGATTGGCTACATCTTGAAGCGCGCTTCCATAAAAACATACTTCAAGCCGCTGAAGAAGATTGGTCAGTTTTTACCATCAGTCAAGTGTAACGTCCCTCTGCAAGATGCAGGAGTGTACAAGCTTGATTGTGAATGTGGTCTCTCCTACATAGGACAAACTAAAAGATCAATTAAAACCCGCGTTAAAGAACATATATAGCTGATGTGAAGAATCGACGCTCCGGGAAGTCTGCAGTCTGTGAACACGTACAGGATCGCCCCCGTCACTACATCAGATTTGATAGACCACAAATCCTCGCTAAAGAACACCGGTTCCTTCCAAGGACGATTCGCGAGGCTATTGAAATCAAAAAACATCCTACTTTCAATAGAGAAGATGGCTGGGTGCTATCATCTGCTTGGGATCCTATAATAAATAAAATTAAATCCCAACCCAAGCATACAACTGCAAGACTTCAAGATACCATAAGTTCATACTGTGTAGATCGGAATAAAAGTTAAATTTTAATCTATGGTAACCGCAGTTAACTATGACATCTGGACATTGAACATCTCAGTAACCCCCGTGACCATGAGTGCTGTAAAGCGCTCGAAACGTTGGGTATTTAAAAAGTTAAATAAACGCGATAGAATCCGTAAAACTAGTATTATTTAAATGTGTAGTGTTCGCGTAAATATAAGAAATCATTATAAAAATATAAATTACTTCCGTGTCGGTAAGTTCAGAAGCAAATAACATTTTTAGAAACATTAAATTTAGTAAGTTATCTGAATAAAAATTCTAAAACCCCATTTGAAGTAGAGATGGACCGAATATGGATTTCAACGAATACGAATATTCGACCGAAAGTTCGGCAAAACCTTTACCGAACCAAATATTCGGTCGAACACTATTCGGCAGGATCACCTCATTACCTAACCAATTTATGTCAAAACTTGTAACTGTAAAGCGCGAGGGATTAACGCCGACCCTGCCCCTCGCTCCGCCGCTACACCCGACATGTTATTACATCATCTAGTACTGAGCAAATCGCCGACATATGCTTATGTTTTGACTATTTGTGTGAGATAAAAAGTATATGGTTGTGTTATTCTTAGTGAAATTGATAATTATATGATAAAAATTAGTGGTAGGAGATCGACTATTAGACTTATTTTAGAGAACTGACGACCAAAGTAAAGTGAAATGTACTAATGTAATGTATGGTTTTTGTTTGATTCCAAAAACATTTTATCAAGCTTTCTATTTGCTATAATTGGAAATCAATCTACAGTGGCTCAAAACCATAACGCTATACAAGTAGATTTAACCCATAAATAAAATATACTTTCAACAGTAAAATTATGAAGAACATGGGATTACTCAATTCGTACATTTGAATACAGTGGACACTTTGAGTACTACTTTAACGAATGTTCGATGATTTAGCCGAATATTCAGCCGAATACGAATATTTGGTAAAGCTGTCTAATCACAAATTTAATGTGATTTATGAGCAACACGCTCCTCTGTGTGTAATTCAATTCACAACGTTTTTGCCGACCGATCGCCCCTTACGTACGTGTACATACATAGTAAAATAATAGGCGTTAGATATTTATCAGTCATCATTATTACCATGCATTCCGAATTTAAAAGATAAAACGGACAAATTGTTTGAGATTATACGTGGTAGAGCCACGCTGTAGCTATATTATGGTTGTAGCATGAATGGGTCGGCTCGACCGGGGAAGGACCACGCTCTCACAAATTACCAGCGTAAAATAGCAGCTTAATGCTGCTGTGTTTCGTATGGTGAGTGTAGAGAACAGGAGACCCGATTACTGAACTCAAGGGTGACAACGCATCTGCATTTTGATTCTTAATCGAGATTAAATGTAGATGTCTATAGGCCACAGCACCCACTTACCATCAGGTGGACTGTATGATCCTTTGTCACCCTATAAAAAATACTTTTCGAAATTAAAATTTTTCTTCATCTTTCGCTTATTAAAACATATATTAAAGATATTTTGTTTATATATTATTATTGCATATTATGTTTATCAACGACTTAACTGAAAAGTGTTTTTATGATGGCATATTTCAAAAGCGTAGGCTGCCATTACCATTTCAGCTTACTAATGTTGTACCGTATCTACCGTTGGGCTATGTCGGTCATTCTGGTTCTGTATTCTCATTTATAAATTTATCACCCAGAGAAATTCGAGCATAGCTCTCTTTATAGGTCGCTGAGGCAGCTTGAGATTTCTTATACGACTAGCAATGAAGGATCACGTTTTATATCCATAAGTCATGAATGGCAACATTCATTGGTTGTACTAACTTGTTTCAAGTTATGAAGTTATCACTCACTGCACTTGGATAGTTTGATTAGTTGTCAATTGTTCTTTAATTGCTACGTATGTTAATTTCTAGCCGTGATTTACTTTTGTATAATTTTTGCACACCACGTAAACTTTCATTGTTTAAAATTAAATATCGCATAGTTTTATAGTTTCATAATATCCGTGGTTTGAATATTTTTGTTATGTCATTGGTAACGAATAGTACGTAATGAGATTATGGGCAACATTGTCAGCCTGGCGAGTGGACGTAGATACTTAGCGGTAGAACGATAAATAGAAGGGAGGGCATGGAAGGACGCGTGACGTGTAACCTTATCGAGCGACTCTTATGAATGTTGCGTGCGTAAAATAGTAAGATTGAAATATTTTGAATGAAAATCATTTAAAATCATGCATTACTAAACATTTCGTTTTAAATTATTTTTCTTATTGTGAAGTTGTCCGCGAATTTAGGCGGTTAAATAACGCTGCATAATAGATCGGGTGTGAGTGTGGGTGTGGTACGTACGTCGTGCGTGTAGGCGGGGGGAGGCTGGCGAGGCGGGCGAGGCGGGGCCGGCGGGGGGGCGCGGCGCGGCCAGGTCGGCGGCCACGGTGAGCAGGTACACGGCTAGCGCCAGCACGTGGTCGGGCGGCGCGGCGACCCCCGAGCCCGTACCCGCGCCGTCGCGCCGCCGCACGCCGCGGTGCAGCACCGCCAGCAGTGCGCCGTGCAGCACGCCTGCGCACACGCACCTTTTCACTATTCATCACCATCATATCATTACACCCTATCAAGCTCCACTGCTGAACTTCTCCCATAGTTAAAAAAACAATAACCAAAACATATAAAGAATATTTTAGGTACTTATCTAATAAACAAAATTATAGTTAAAACCAATGTCTACAATACATAGGCTGCACTAAAAGTATCGGGAATGGAATATTTCCACTGTTCCTGTCATATTAAAAACTTTTTAATTGAAAACTCTTTGGTTTTAAAAATCGAATACCATTATTTATTTAAAAAAAGATTCTCGGTCTTGTCACAAGGTTTTGTCAAACTTGTTTAGTCGTTGAGAAAATGGAATTGACTCGAGAAAATTCAAGAGTGATGATTTATTATGACTTTCGAAGTGGTTTACACAAAAACAGAGTGTTGACCGGATGATTTCTGCACTTGGCGAAGAAGCCCCATCCAAAACCACAATTTATCGCTGGTTTGCTGAATTTCAACGTGGACGTGTCAAGCTCAGTGATGATCCCCGTTAAGGTCGTCCAAAAACTGCAATCACCCAAGAAAACGTTGATGCTGTTAAGCTGATTGAGGAAGATCGACATGTGACATACCCGAAATTCAGGCAACTTTAGACATTGGCATGAGTCAAATACAAATAATCTTGCATGAACAATTAGGTGTAAAAAAGTTGTTTTCCCGATGGATACCGCATTCGCTCTGTGAAGAGCAAAAAGCGGCTCGCGTTACTTGGTGCGTCAGAACTCTCGAAAGATTCCACGCAGGATCCTCAAATTCTGTATACAACATCGTATCAGGTGACGAATCCTGGATATACGCGTACGAACCCGAAACAAAAAACCAGTCACGTGTTTGGTTGTTCGAAAATGAGTTAAAGCCAACAAAAATTGTTCGTTCACGGAGTGTTGCAAAAAAAAAAATGGTTACCACGTTTGTCTCCAAAACCGGCCATGTTACGACTATTCCTCTTGGGGACAAAGAGCGGTTAATGCAGAATGGTATGCTAGCATTTCTTTGCCACAGGTCGTTTCTGAACTCCGTAAAGAGAACTGCAACAGCCGCATCATCCTCCATCACGACAATGCGAGTTCTCACACCGCACATAGAACAAAAGAGTTTTTAGAACAAGAAAACATAGAATTATTAGACCATCCGCCGTACAGCCCCGACCTAAGCCCTAATGATTTCTATACTTTCCCTAAAATAAAGAATAAATTGCGTGGACAGAGATTTTCATCACCTGAAGAAGCTGTGGACGCCTACAAAACGGCCATTTTGGAGACCCCAAGTTCCGAATGGAATGGTTGCTTCAATGATTGGTTCCATCGTATGGAAAAATGTGTCAAATTTCGCGGAGAATACTTCGAACCCCGTGCCGTCTAGCCGCGCTCTATACTCGCTCACCGTACTCCTCCTCATCAAGGGGTGCGCGAACGGTGAGAGCGCGCGCGGTGCTTGTCAGTACACATCCAATTGACCCGCGATACACGCATATCACTTTGCTACGCAAATTAACGACGAGTGTTCGTTCGAAATGATAATATTAATAAACTTTGTGATCGACAGTGTCGTGTTTCTTTACGGATTGACTTTATATCATGGTAAGTTAATCACATATTCGTAAGTGCTTGTAATATTTAAGTTCATTTTTATTCTAATTTTTATCTGATTAATATTATATGTGTCTTATACATAGACTATACAATATTTTTACATGATTTTTGTAATCTTTGACGTAATATTTGACACACTCCTCTCGTTCGAGGAGTCATATACTCAGTTCATAATCTGCGTGCCCCACACATCACACTTATCCTAATCAAGCAAATGCTACGATCTGATCTACTAAGCTTGTGGTTAAGGCTCAAATAATTGGGCCGTACGGGTGAAACTCACGGGCGGCACGGACCAATGTGGGAGCCTTGTGGGCCAAAATTGCGAGCTGTAAGGGTCAATCTTTTGAGCTGTATGAATCAATACTATAAACAAACTGTACCTATCATTGTAATACCATGATAGTGAATGAATTATATGTCCAATTTTATTTTTATCACGAAGGCTCAAGTTAAGGGAATAATATTCTGAAGTATCGTTATTTACATTACATTAGCTGGGAAGCAAATGACCCCGAGGACGATATTATCTTGAAGAAAATAATAAATCTAGGTAATGGTCATTTACCATTGGGTTGGAAAAAATGGAAAATTAAGAGTATAAGGAAGACTTATTGGGAAACGAATTTGATCCCTAAATTCTTAACAAAAGTAGATTTTTCTCACCGTTGGACTCGCCACAGCTTTTTCTCCTGAGTACACCATCGCTAAAGGAGAAAACTTATAGAGATACTAGCTTGCCAGGCAGACTTTGTTCTGCCCTTTTCGAAAAAGCTTTAAATCAAGCTATCAAAATTCCGAATCATAAACGGTATATATAGAACATCTCCGAACTATCACACGGAGTGTTGGCTGCTGCCCGGGCAGAACACCTTATTCGGCGGGAGATCTCCCCTTTTCCTTCGACAGCCACAATATAAAATTAAAACATTTGAAATGATCACTGTGTGTAGGCCTTATCATATATCCAATGTCTCTGGCTGCTAGAGTACGGAGTTCAGCAGTCCAAAGTGAACTGATAATAGGCTCCATCTCCGACACGAGACCACTCCTCAAAAGCAGAGAGTATGCAAATAGGGAACTGGCAGCGCAATTTGAACAATCTGAGGACGAAATATCAGTGACTTCTACAAGAACTTCATCTAGTAGGTCCAAAAAGCCAAGTCGATTGGACAAATTAGAGAAAGGACAGCGTAAATTGGAAAATATGATGGAACAATTTATCAAGAGTTTTCAACCAGAAGATCACTTGTATACGGGCTCGGAAAAGGTCTCAACTGCCCCAGAGCCATCAGAGGATGAAGAAAATGTCCCTCAGCTTTCAGCGTTATCACCAAAGCCCTAAGAACCTCCAACGTCTTTAGTAGATGAAGACTTCGACTGGAACCCTACCACAGGACAACAAGAACCTCTGATACCAATCCCGAGCCATACGTTGCCATACAGGATACTGAGTGCAATGATTTCAAAAGGAAGGATAGGCCCATCTAAATATTTTAGTCATAACTTTTTCATACAAGAAAAAGTAACGCATCTGTCATAATACAAACGTCATATCATAACACGACGTAACCAGGGTCGGATTTCGTAGTATAATTATCCTAATTATACCATTATTTCATAGTTTGTTGTATATAGTATCGTAATAATACTAAGCAAAAATACCATAATTTTACATAAAGGTCGACTTGTATTATTATTGGGTCCTTTTACATTTTAATATTAACCCTACGATATCGAGAATCTGTGTATTGTACATGAGTACCGCGTTTTTTTAATAAAATTCAAATTAGCTCCCTTTCTAGTCAATCGGTGCTCGATCGATGCATTTATGTTGCATCCTTGATACAACTATAATGAGGGGCTACCACGATAAAAATTCTATGCTCCAGAAGCAATCGATTTAAAAAGAGAATTTCAAAATATTTTATGAATCAGATTTTCAGATTCAATTAAGCAGATATGAATTCTTTTGTATTCTTTTCGTTTTGCCCTTATTGAATATAAAATATATTAGGTACCAATATTCAAAATTTAACTTACACTAAGTTCTTTAGACAAAAATAAAACTATCAAAAAACGTAACGTATAGATAAACTAGTCGCGTGACATGGGGAAAAAAGGAACGTGAAACGTCAAAGTAATATATTTTTTTAAATAGTATAATTTTATTTTCCATGTACAATATTTTTGAGGGTCTGAATCCAACCCTGGCCTATTCTTGGTAACGTAAATAAACTAACTGTAAAATAAAACTTTAAAAAGGCGTTTATATAATAATTTAATTAAAACAAAATTAATATAAAGTTATTAACCGATGATACGATATCCCATGTTCCTTTTTAATCTTTGTATCATAATTTTTGCATCCTTTTACCACGCAGCTAGACATATTTAAAAAGTAAAGTAAAGTAAAGTTACAGCCTATATACGTCCCACTGCTGGGCACAGGCCTCCTCTCATTTCTGACAGGGTTTTAGGGCAAGGAAATGTCCGCCGCGCTGCCCCAGTGCGTGTTGGCGAAGTTCACATGTCTTCGAAATATTTTTTTTCTTATTTCTCAGATATGCAGGTTTCCTCACGATGTTTTCCTTCACCGGCGAGCACGTGGTAAATCAGTACTGAAAATTGCAATTAACAATTTCATTGGTGCCGGCGGGGATCGAACCCGGTTTGCTCGCGTATTGCGAAATTTACAGCGAGCGCTAAACATCTGAGCTACCACGGCTCAGACATATTTATGACACGCAAATCCGTCCTGCGCGCGCACCACTGTCGACCGATTCGCGTTGGCCCTAAACTGTTATTCGGTCGGCCCGGTCCTTACGCTGGTAATATATAAGTCAATGACTGAGTGTCAACGTTTAGGCGATATAACATTTAGTCAGATTCAATACGCTGAGTTTCAAAAAAAAATTGCATGCTAGCCCGATCTTCGGTCCTTTAAAGGTCGACCCTATCCTCACGACCTATGAACCGCCTTTCAATCAAGATCACTTGGTTCGAATGGACTACACTCTGTGCAGAATTTCCTATGATCTTCTGCTTCAACGGGAGACGCTTACTATCACGCTGAAAGATCTAGCCATCAAACACCCAGATACGAAACAAGACTTGAAATATATCTTATCGACGGATACACCCTTCAAATCTCTTTCGGATGATCTGCTTCAGTACGTGTGTGGGAGAAAGGCAGAGACTATCTAACAAAGAAGGAATGGGCTCCTTCCAAAAAAAGAATATCAAGCAACTCTTCTTGGTGCTATTCCTTTGGCAACCACCCATCTTTTCTGCGAAACTGGCCTAGCAGAGCTACTGAAACAGCCACCTCATCAAACCATTTTTCACATCACCTATAAAAGACCCTTGCAACCTAAAAACTACAATACAACACTATCCGCATGTCAAACTAGACCAAATATAAAGACCAGAAATAAAGATCAAAGCCAACCCTCTCCCCGTGGCAAGTCCTCTAAGAACCATACCTCAAAAAGATAGGAATTAATGACGTTTTCAGCGGGGGATAATTCTTGCAATTTGTAAAGGTCTAGAAGAGAAACGGCGCACCATTAAGCATATTACAAATAATAAAAGTTAAAACTATACCCTTCGTCAACCCCCCCCCCCCCCGCTAATGACTTAAAAAAATTTTATTCAGAGATTCGGACCCTAATACAGCAAAAGGTTATAAAAAATTCCTCGACTCAGACAAGTTTATTGTCAAATATGTTTCCAGTTCCAAAATCCAACGACAAAGTACGGCGAATAATAATCAAACTAAACAGATTACCTTACCCCGAATAAGTTGCGGTTGTTAAACCACTTCAAAGTACCTCACTTCTTACAAAAAGGAGATTTTCTCATGAAAATCGACATTTCACAGGCATACTTTCATATCCCAATAACCAATAGTTCACCAAAACAAGGTTCTACTATTTACAAGGCTCACGTTTGGTCTACTAACGGCACCTCTGACCTTCGCAAGAGTGTCAAGTTGGATAGCATCACAATTAAGCCAGATGAACACAAGAGTTATTGAGTACCTCGACGACTTCTTGCTTGTCAACCAAGATTCAGTGAAACTGCAAAACGACGCCAACATGACGGTACAATTTCTTGTCAAACTAGGTTGGATAATCAATATGGGCAAATCTCTACAGGGCCCATCACAGCGAATCCAGTACCTAGGAATAAAATGGCTCTACCACATATAAATATGTATTCTAGAAAGAAGAATGACATTCCAATAGAAATGGTAACAGTAAAATCGAAAGAAATGTAGTGAGCCATTATTTTAAAGACAATCATTATTTCTTCCCAAGATGATTCTAATGACTTAAGTTTGTTATTACTAACTTTACTTTTTTGTTTAATTAAAATTACTTGTCTGGTTGATTGTTTGGTTGATTTCTATACTTTGATAAATAAACACTAAGTTTTTCTTTGTTTTCTGTTTATTTTAAAATACAAGCACTTACAGGTATTTTATCTTCTTATTCACATTTGAAACATAACACTAAATAAATATTTTTCACAGTACGCTATCCCCATGTCGTTAGAATCCAAAGATTTCCCACAGGTTAAGCAGACGGCACAGACCATGAAAAAGTAAACACTTTTCCTCCAAAGGGACAAAAATTACATATTTCGTGTTATGCGTAGGCTTGACCCTTGACCACTCTAATAGGGTGTGCGAGCGGAGGGGTGCGGTGAGCGAGTATAGAGCGCGGCTAGACGGCACGGGGAACTATGACACGTATGTATCAAAGGACAAATTGAAGGATGTAATCTCACAGGTCAAGCCGACGGATATATTGTTATATTATTTTTATACCTTTGGGGGAAATCCATATGCTATTTTCCATTCATTTTGTTATTAGTAGATGAAAATTGGAAATTAGTAATAAATGAAACGTCATATAGCTTTGCTTAAACTACACATTAAGAGACGTGATAATTGTTGTCACCCTCGAGGAGGATGACTACGCCTGCCTTAATACAGTGCAAACTAGTACGGAGAATAGAACATTCACTTTTCTGTAGCACCATTATCATAACTCGAAATATGTTTATGGATTTGCACTAGCTCTTTACTTAAATATAAAGGTGGTAAGATCCATGTTTTTACTTTATCATACCATGTTATTGGTAGCTCGTAGATAAATAAATAAAATATAACAAAAATCGTCTCACAGCCCAATATGTAACGATAGCAGCTGTTTTTCTACCATTTTAAACTATTAAGAAAATGCTACTAGCCATCCCCTGTTTTAACTTACCTCTGTCACTTCTTACAATATCCATAAGACGATATGGGATAATTGATATTCTTACACCGCCTCGATATGCCTACATGATCATAAAATAACCAATACCACCATAATAAAATAAAAAACTATACATAACAAAAAAATTCCCCTTAAATTTTCCCTTTTCGATAATTTTCTAAATATCTAAAAAAACTTCATCAAACCACAAATAGAAACAATAACACGAAAATAACAATAAAGTTGAATAAAAGTAACAGCCCATTGGGCATTTCTTTTTGGGATAAAAATATCTTCTCACTTACCGATAGCTGTTAAATTTGATATTTATTGTATTAATATAATAGAATAGAAGAATAAGACAGTAAAAAGGAAAACTATTTACAAACTTCAAAAACTCTTTAGGCACAATAGATTATACTCAGTCTCTTACACACGCATATACACATAAGTATGCACTCACATACGCAACTTGCGGCGTAAACACACGATCATGCACATGCACACTCACGCTAACAATAAAAATATTATAGGTGAATTTCTACAATTTAGCCATATAATGTTTTACCTGAGAGACAGATACGACGCGGGTCCCCGGCGGCGGCAGGCGGGGGCAGCGCGGGGCGCAGCGGCGGCCACAGCGTGCCGCTCGCCGCGCCGCTGGCCGAGCCGCTCGCCGCCCCGCCACCCGTACCGCTGCCAGCCCCACCGCTTTCCGCCTTCTGTTTCTCGCGCACGCTGAAACCATACCGCAATGCGACACATGAATTTTCATTAGAAAAAGTATTTTTACGAAATATAACAATCAACAACAGTTAGTTCTGTCACACACAGGACGACGCTCCGCACGTATGGTGAGTGTAGAGATCCGGAGACCCTTTTTACTGGAACCGAAGCATTCCATCTTAGTCCTCAGGGGTGACAACGAATCTGCGTTTTGATTCTTAATCAAAGATAAATGTAGATGTCTATGGGCCACAGCATCCATTTACCTTCAGGTGGACTGTATGATCGTTTGTCACCCTTATTCAATAAAAAAAACATAATAATTTATTACGACTCAGCCCAACGTACTATCCAAAAAGTGCTTCAAAATCTGTGGTACAAAATGCAAGCTTAGAAAATAATCATAAAGAAAAAATTTCCACTTCTAATAGCTCGCTTAAAATACTATTGAGTCATAATAATTGCTAGATAAAGAAGATTAGTATTTATTGTAATAAAAACTTATCACAAATGCACTGCTGAATACAGGCCTCCCATGAAATACGCCACAAATAACGGTCCCGAATCCAGTGTCGTCACTCCGTCTAGTGAGGGGCCATCGCTAACCTCGGCGCGCGGCACGAACAGTACACACACACGCACACGAGCACACTGTACACTCACTATGCGGTGAAGCGGTCCATGGAAGCGTGGAAGTCACGGCGGTGCACGGCGCGGCGCAGCACGTGCAGCGGGTCGTAGTGCCGCTCCCACACCTCGGCGCGCGGCACGAACAGTCCCTGCTCCAGGTTCTCCGAGCCGCGCGGCGGGGCACGGTATGTAGACAGCTGCAACGCACGAGACACAACTCTCAACCAACACGACAAACGTACCTGCCTCAAGTGCTAACAAACGTTTGAATATTCAAGTGAAAATAAATCAACTTGTTAATCATCATCCAAATTAATTTCCATAAAGCATAAACTCAACGCCTGACTTTAACAATTATGATTAGAATAACACCTGGCGAAATCCATTCTTCCGTCGGAGTATTTTAAAGTTAACTAACAGAAACTCACAAGATTTTTCGTAACAACCATGTAGTGGCGGGTAAGAATACCCACTGGCACATATATCCACCCGCGATTGTCGAAAGAGACGACATAGGGAAACTGAGGCAGAAATTATGCAGCAGCAAATATCTGATTATAACCAAAATAACAATTAAAAACTGCGGTTGCCGAACCGCTCACCAAGCGTGGCAACTATGTCAATATACCCCCATGATGAGAGATACGAAAAGACTTGCTAAGAGGTACTTTTTAATGTTTAATAACTCATATTTAAACATTAAAAAGTACCTTATTCATTTGCGAAATCGGTAAAATTCTAGGACTGTGGCGTTACGAGTTGAACAGCATGGCGGCGAGCGTTTTCACGCGAAAATTTAACGATATATTAAAAGTAATTTCTAAGGCACTGTTCGGTTTTAAAAAATTATATAAATTTTATAGTGGTTCATTATCACTCTAAGATTCACTTACGGATTTGAGACGTGGTCCTTTACTGCTGACCGTATGAGTAAGCTCAAGGTTGCTTAGGGAGTTTCTCTGTGTGATAAACTAAGAAATGAGGATATCCGCAGTAGAACCAGAGTAACCGACATAGCCCAACGGATTAGTAAGCTGAAGTGGTAATGGGCCGGCCATATATGTACCGTGAAAAACCGACAACCGATGAGGAAGCAACATTCTCCAGTGGCTGTCCCGTACCGGTAGGGAAAGTTTGGGACAGACCGCCACTAGATGGAGTGACGACCTAGTAAGACATGCAGGAAGTGGATGAATGCAGGTGGCTCAGAATCGTGCTTAGTGGCATTCTTTTGAGGAGGCCAGTGATCAGCAGTGGAATTCAGAAGGGCTGCATATAATAATGTTATGATGATTTAGCCAATCCCGAATCACCTGCATCCATCGACTTCCTGTATATCTTACCAGGTTGTCACTCAATCTAGTGGGGGATCGCCCTACACTACGTCTACCGGTACAAGGCTGCCACTCGAGAATCTTTTTTCTCCGTGCGTTGACGGTTGTTCGAGCTTATATGGCCAGCCCATTGCCACTTCAGCTCACTAATCCGTTGAGCTATGTCAGTCACTCTGGTTTTACTGCGGATATCCTCATTTCTAAATTCATCACATGCAGAGAAACCCTGAGCATAACCCTCTCCACAGCTCTCTGAGCGACCTTGAGCGTCCTCATACGGGCAGCAGTGAAGGACCACGTCTCAGATCCATAAGTCATCACTGGCAACACGCACTGGTTGTACAATCTAGTTTCCCGAACGCTGCCCAGCCGAGTTGAATCCGTCGATTAACCTCTTGGTCGAAGTTGGACTTACCTAGTCAGACTATTTGTCCCAGGTAAACGTACTCGTCAACAACTTCGAGCTTAGTGCTCCTAACAACTACCGGCATAGGTGTGATATGGACATTAAACATGATCTTTGTTTTGTACATGTTCATTTTAAGACCTATCTGTTAGGACACACTATTGAGGTCATTTAGCATAGTGCTTCGGTCCTCTAGCCATAAAGACTATATCGGCAAATCGAAGGCGAGTGATGTACTTGCCATTCATGTTAATATAGTATCCTTTCCAGTTGAGTAACTTGAAAACGTCTTCCAATTTAGCGGTGAAGAGTTTCGGGGTTATAACGTCACCCTGTCTTACACCTCTCTGCAGTTGGATAGGTTTCGAGCTCTGGTTCTGTATTCGGATAGCCATCGTAGCACTCTTTTACAAGCACTTCAGCACTCCGATATACAGACAGTCAACTTGGCGTCGCTGAAGGGACTGTAGCACCGCCCAAATTTCGACGGAATCAAAGGCATTTTCATAGTCTACATACGCAAGGCAAAGTGGTAGATTGTACTTTTTGGATCAATGCGACAGAATTATAATATAATAATAAAACGAGTCTGTAAACAATGTTTGCGGAACACCGCGTCGCAAATCTGTGTCAGGAAACAATTAACTATTTTTTTCGCCCCCCTGTTAATTCCTTTTTTAAATAAACGAAATGTTTATTTGAATTGTTTCTCAAGAAATTTAGTACTAGAAAAATACGCCCTTTATATATTATTTTTAAACGGTTGAATTAATTTTATCCTACGCCACAAAGTACGAGAAATTGAAAAAAAAATTGAAATGAAAAAAACAATGCATCATCTGGCGCGCATAACTAAAAAATACTATCCCACGTCATATGAAAATAATAAAAGAACAGCGGTGGCTAAACCGCCCACCAAGCTATGCGACTACGGCAAAGTCCATTAGGGGACAGGCTTCCGTTAAGTAGAGGATTTTTTGTTGGCTGTAAGAAATAAAAAATATTGAACTAAACTACTTTTCTCTTTCCTTCTATTTCTGCAGTTTTGCTGAAGTTATGGGTTATTACAGGTGAAATGGACATGTTAGTCTTAAGAGGCGACGTTCTTTCGGGTTGACTTTGTTTTGTAGTTAGGTACAGACTGCCACAGTGAACTTCTATTAAAATAAGGGTGGTAAGGGTGACCCGAACACACAGTCCACCTAACGGTAAGCGAATGCTGTGATTCATAGACAACTTAGTCTATTCTTGACTAAGAATAGATGAAATTGTCTATGAATCAATGTGGTTGCGTTACCACCTCTGAGTACCGTTCGATACACGGCAACATAACGCCGCTTTACGTTGGCATGGTACGTTCTTCGTCGAGCCGAGTATATACGTGGTAGAGCCTCGCTAGAGCTATACTATGATTGCAGCACGAATGGGTCGACTCAACGAGGGTTAGACCACGCACTCACAGAAAACCAGCAATTGAGTGTAGAGAACCGGAGACCCTCTTCATTGGAAACGAGGTAAACATGTGTCAATCATTTTCTCGTGACCGAATCATTCTAGTACATTTCGTCACGCGTACCTGTACATTCGGATCGATCATTTAAATGGATCATTTTGGGCTCCAGTACCCTACGCTAAAAGCAATACATTCAGATCATTCGGGATTCGGTCGGTTTTTGACTTATTGACAATTCGCACCAATCACGAGTTAAAAAGGTTCCGTCAATTGTTTGTTATTGGTTGTACCGGAACATTCAAGAACAGATGGATGAACCATCAATACTTCTAAGTGTATCAGTTCAAACGAACGAATCATTCATGACTGACACATGTCTAAAATGAGGCATTCCTTCTTAGTTGTCAGGTGTGACAACACATCTATATTTTGATCCTCAATTGAGAGTAAGTGTAGATGTGTATGGTCACGTCCACTTACCATCAGAGTAATCACTTACCACAGCGTCCACTTATCAACAGGTGGACACTGTGGTCATTTGTCACACTTATTCTATAAATAAAAAAGTATTTGTGACGTCACAGTTGATAAAGTTTTGAAGAGGTATCCAAACCCATGGATTAATTTTATTAATTGTGGGATTACCATGTAGTGACAGTGCAAGAGTATCCACTACCCCATATCACCCCGTGGGTGTCGTATGAGGTGACTGAGGGAAACAAATTAGAAGATGGCCAGCAGTCTAATTACAAATAAAAATAAATATAAATTGCAGTTGGCAATCCGTTTTCCAAGCGTGGCAATAATGACAGATATCTCTTCGTGAGGCAATCTATGGGAGAGACCTATGTTCAGCAGTGGAGTTTATTTAATAGTAAGCGGATAGTAGTCCCCGTCCTAGCTTGTTGTATAAAAGAAAGTGGGTAGCACCTCCTTAAGCACGGTCTCGAAGTTCCTGGTGTGCGCGTTGCCGGAGCGCTCGGGCATGAGCTCCAGCAGCTGCGAGTGCGTCTTGTCGCCCGCCGCCAGCAGCGTGCTCACCTCCAGCCGTGACTGCGTCAGCTCGTCGTTGCCTGCCGGGCAACAGCACGCACATCACAACGCCATCCACTCTCACTGAGGCACGGGGAAGGAGCTGTCTGTGCTGTCACCAGCGATGTATGAATAGCCGGTAACAGATCACTGACCATCAGATGAGCCGCTTGTCATCAGAATATGTTTGCTTTAACTCGCCAATTCACTTTGGAAACGTTTTTCTTTTGTACTACCGACAAAAATGTATGTCATGTATATCACACTTCTACCTGCTTCTGGCGCAGCAGTGAGAGCATTGCTGCATTACAGTCTAGAAAAAGTATAGAGCGAGTGTACAAACAGGCTGTGAATCATTACATGTAAGTCCCCAAAAATAACTACACATCCCTCATTGTATGAAGTTCGCTGCAGATGACTATGGACTACAGTAGACACTAACCAAAGTTTCGTGAAGTTAATTAATCCATTCAAATATGTTGATGGCACTTTCACTCAGTCCCCTTGGCCGAATATTCAATCAAGGCAAAAATTTCCGAACAATAAAATACTGTCAACTGTGCACGACACACTAAAGTATTTCAAGTGAAAGATCAATCAAAAAGGCGTTCACTTCCTATTCCTAACCTACCTGCGCCGATGTAGGTACTGCAATAACATCGATAGAGAAACTATCGTTTGTCAGCGACATAGCGACAATCACTACGCAAAGAGACGTAAATACCAATAACTTGCATTATTGGACAAAAAATATCGGCTCCTGACAGGACTATAATGGCCAGTTTACATTATCTTAGTCTTTAGTAAAGTTATTTAGGATAGTTCCCTATTGTACTCTAACGGTAGCTATTAGTGATTACTGATACCCGTTTACTGTGTGGGTACCGTAGTAGGTCAAAGGCTAAAAGCATGATGGAAATTTCACAGGCATTGGGAGGTCCATTAAAATAGGGTCTGTCAATGTTTGTCTATGGCACAAAAATGAATGTGCACACTGTGTTATTTGGCTATAATGATATCGTAAAAAGCGATTATTGTACAGTACAACCTTTATAAACAACAAATCCGAAAGGGGATTATAAAATATTCCCTCCCTATAGCAAGTAAATTGTTACAAGGACGTCTGTTATGTAGATATTAGGTTAATCAAAGATTCATTTCAGCAATGTTAGCAAAAAGTTAAATTCTCATTCTGTAATGAATGCCTTACAACACTAAACATTAATTTATTATTACAATTTGAATTCCTGGATTGTCTGACGATAAATTGAACTAGTCTGAACCTGTCGAGAGATGAATTCTTGTTAGATGGATTGGTATACTTTCTATTTATTTTCTGCAATTATTGAAAAATCGTTATAAAGAGGTTCCTACAAAAGTTGTAGAAGATATTTCGTGTTAACTCTTACGGCAGGTTCTAGGGGATTTCTAAGAATTTGATAAATAGAGGAAATCGTTATATTGAGTTTCGTTATATTAATGTTGTCCTGTATTGGGTTTGTGACTGTGTAGGCGATTGGCTAGCCATCTATCACTTTTTTCACAATTTTCCACTCTGGGGCTACAGGGGTGTCGCTATGTGTGTACATTAGTTGATCCTACGCTTTCTGGGGCTACAGGTGTGTCGCTATGTGTACGTACATTAGTTGATCCTACGCTTTCTGGGGCTACAGGTGTGTCGCTATGTGTTTACATAAGTGGATCCTACGCCCTTTGGAGCTACACGTTTGTCGCTATGTGTGTACATTAGTTGATCCTACGCTTTCTGGGGCTACAGGGTTGTCGCTATGTGTGTACATTAGTTGATCCTACGCTTTCTGGGGCTACAGGTTTGTCGCTATGTGTGTACATAAGTGGATCCTACGCCCTTTGGAGCTACAGGTGTGTCGCTATGTGTGTACATAAGTGGATCCTACGCCCTCTAGCGTTACAGGTGTGTTGCTAAGTGTATATGAAAAGATCAAGAGAGGTGAGTGAAAGTATGGGGGTGGTTACCGAGGTTGGTGCGCGAGGAGACGAGTATGGCGAGGAAGGTGAGCAGCCCCTCCAGCATGGCGTCCTGCTCGGCGGCCTGCGCCGGCGACAGCGGCGTCATGCTCAGCCACTCGCGCACACCGAACCTGCACACACAACAATCATCATTCCCTGCCCATTTCACTTAAGTGCGACTACGACTGGGTGCAATTTATTACTATTGGATTTCATGAGTTTCAACTTTAACTTTATATATGTTTTACTTTTCTTGAAAGTAGCCTAAATTATTCCCTATAACATCACCAGCAGAACTCCTGTCAAAATAGTTCCAACCACTTCAGAGAATAGCCAAAACAAAGTCACGGACACACACACACACACAACAAGTTTAAACATTGTTATTTTTTGTTGTAAGTACAGTATATACTTTCAGAAGCACTTAGTAAAAGCTGTTATTTTGAAATTACAAACAGACACTACAAGGATCCAAATTCATTAACACCCTTTAATATTAAGACCCTTTTTACTGGAAAAGAGGCATTCCATCTTAGTCCTCAAGGCTGACAACGCATCTTCATTTTGATACGCAAACGAGGATAGATGTAGATGTCTATGGGCCACAGCAACCACTTACCATCAGGTGGACTGTGTGCTCACTTGTCAACCTTTTCCTATGAAAAAAACCACTACTTTTTGGCCAACACAATACTTACATATCGATGCACATGTCGAGAAACTGATCAGCGGGGAGATGCGCGGCGCAGATCTGCAGCCAGTAAATATCCATATCGACCATCGAGTTGCAGAAGTTCGCCTGGATGTACGTCATCGCTTGCCCTTTGATCTGCAACCCGTTGCGCACCCACACCCCCGCCAGGATCTCATAGAAAAGGCTCTGTGAGCAACGAGAATATAATTATAAGATAAATGTTATGTATTGTACAAGTGGGCGATTTTATCAATTTTGTTTTGAGTAGGCATTTATTAAGTTTCATTTGTAAAAGTTAAGTTGACAAACAAATGAATGATAACAACATCAAGTAAACTGTATTATTTGTTTTGAATACAATGATATTTAAACACCTACTTCATCAATGGTCAAGACAAGATTTGAAATCGTTTATAAAATTTTTACTGTAATTTAATCTCCGGTTCGTTTTTACGTTTAGTAAGCAGCACAACCATTTCTTCAACTTTTTAAAATATGATTATTTTATGTAGATTGATTACGTAGAGTACGAACAAAATATAATATGGGTAAGCTGTATATTAGTGGCAAAAATTGTCCTACTTTGGACCGAATTTCAGTCATGGTGTGTCCACGAGGACTAACCATCTGGTCAGCACAGTATTATAGTGCACGAGCATGTGCGCAAAAACAAGTGAACTCTCTATTCCCTCAAAATGAATGTCTCTTCACTCTACCCCTACTTTGAAGAGTTGTTCAGTTTATTTTTATAGATAAGGGTGGTAAAGGAGCACAAAGTCCACTTCATAGTAAGTGGATGCTGTGGATCATAGACATCTACATCTATCCTCAATTAAAAATCAAAATGCAGATGCATTGTCATCTCTTGAGGACTAAGATGGAATGCCTCGTTTCCAGTAAAAAGGGTCTCCGGTTCTCTACACTCACCATATGAAACTCAGTAACATTAAGCCGCTGTTTTACGCTGGTATTCTGTGAGAGCGTAGTCCTACCCCGGTTGAGCTGACCCCTTTCGTGCTACAATCTACATAGTATAGCTACAGCATGGCTCTACTAAGTAAAAACACCTGTAAAGGATTTTGACAATAAAATACGTATATTTCTAACAAGCCACTGCAATGCGATACATTCCTAATTGTGACGCTGATGCATTATACAAACGTCCAGATATTAAAAGCTTAATTTTGCTTGAGTGCTTTTACGATAACATCAGGCTACAACGATGTGTTGAAAAAGTTTTAACTTGGATAAGATACTGAGTCGTAAGCGAAAAGTCAACAACTACCATCCCAGTAAATAAATTGAGTCGAGTTCCGTTCTTTTACATATTACTAAATTAAAGTTTTTAAAAAAAATCATTATTATCACTACTGCTCATCACAAGTTCCCAGCTGAACATAGGTGTCCTCTAGAGAATGCCACAAAGCACGTTCCTAAGCCACGCACCTATATACCAGCTTCCTACATCTCTCCAACTCTAGATCGTCACTTTATCCAGTGGGGGGGGGGCGCCCTACACTTCGATTACTGGTACGAGGTCATCATATAGAACATTTCTTTCCCATCGGTTGTCGGTTCTTCTAGCTATATGGCTGGCCTATCTATTGCTATTTTAGCTTAGTAATCAGTTGGGCTATATCGGTTAATGGTTCTACTGCGGATATCCCATGAGCATAACCCTCTCCGTATCTCCCTTAGCGAACTTTAGCTTCCTTATAGGGCTAGCAGTGAAAGACCACGTCTCAGATTCATAGTCAACATATATCGTTTAGATATTAATTTAAAATAAACCATGTTATTTTAACTATGTTACAGTTGTGCACATAGTCATAAATTGTTGTTTTTTTTTTACTTAACTTTTTCCTGGTTTGTTAGCAAAACTAACCATGCAGTTTACAGTGATAAAAATACTACAAATAATGTTACTAAATTTACCGTTAACTACTGCAAGTGAGCGGAAGTGTTCACAACAGTTGACAATGATATCAATATTACTCGGAATTAAGAAAACTCAACGCCACATTGTTAAATTATTTTAGTTTTAGGTTTCCACGAACTCATTTGTTTACTTTAATAAAATAATGGTCATAGTAGGTCTTCTTATCTAAAAGTCGTATTTAATCAACTGCCATTTTAAAATAGCCGTAAGATACATTTTGCATGCAATATGCATAAAATAAAGCTCAAGTCAAGGCAAGTCAAGCTACAGCCTATCAACGTCCCTGCACTGGAAACACCCCCCCCCCCCCGCTCATTTCTGAGAGTTATGAAGAAATTACTTTGCCACTTTGCTCCAGTGCGAGATTGCGGACTCAAAATATTTTTATCCTTTAAAAATGCAAATTACATCACGACATTTTAATTCACCGCCGAGCACGTGATAAATCAACACTTAAAATTACTTAAATAATCGAACCCTGAATCCTACACTCATTTTCAATTAAATTTATACCGAACGCTTAACCTCTGAGCCGCCACGGCTCTACGGGCTTGTTTGAAATAATATTCTAAGGTTATGCTATGTTATATGCTTGATCTTTCGTCATCATAAAGGACGCATAGACAAACGATCAGAATACTTGTCTCAGTAATCAAAACAGCAGTCCTCGGTCATTATTAAGCTGGCTTTTCACTATGGAATACAATATATAATATCCCGAGATATAAATTATATCCCGCGATTGCCCTTCACACTGTGAGCTATGAGTGGTGTTGCCAGGTGTCCCGATTTGCGCGGGACGTCCCGATTTTCAAGGGTCTGGTGACACGTCCCGATTCATCCTTGATCGGGACGCCAAATGTCCCGATTTTCACTAATCTTCTTATTCTATACTTTAATCCATAATTTTGACAGCAAAAATTATTACATCTGTTATCTACTACTACATAAAAATATTTTTACTACGACATTTTCGCACCAATCGAAAAAAAAAACACAAAAGTTTTAAACAGAATTACATTAAAATGAGTGATTTGAAAATTTCAGAGACTGCAAAAAATGTTTTGATTTGCCTAAAACGAAAAAATATAGACGAAGAATATGCAGTTTTTACGATGTTTGGATGAAAAGTTATTCGTTCATGAGATCAGAACCGCATAATAATTATAAAGCACGAAAAGGCTACAAAAAACCTATATTTTGTAGCCATTGTAGCTGTCCCCATGTGAAAACCAACTTCCCGATTATTTTTACCTTCCGTCCCGAAATATTACTTGCTAGACCTGGCAACACTAGCTGTGAGATATATCTTTTAACCAGTGTGGCGTTCGTCATTCGACGATCTGAGGACGTAGCGGAGGCGCGGAAGCGAAAGGGTGTGCGGGATACTGGAGATGAAATGTAATATGAAAATATCACTCAGTCGATCAAAAAAACTATTATTGTTTGGAAAGTAATATATCTCCCATCATCTCAGTGTAAACGGTACCGTTTAAAAGTACGGAGAGCGATATTTATTTATATCTGGAGATGTAATATAAATTACTAGCTTGCCAGGCAGACGTTGTTTTGCCTTTTTCGACGAACCTTCGTCATGTCCTATTAAAAATCTTCAAATTCGCAAAAAAAAAAATTGTGGGTGGAAAAAAACTGCACACGTTGTGCAAATTTGATTAAAATTAAGTAGTTTATGAGTCCATCGCGGACAAACTTATATATATATATATATATATATATATATATATATATATATATATATATATATATATATATATATATATATATATATATAAGATTATGGGTGATAGTGGAAAGTGGGTTTTACTATCCTTTACAAGTCCACTGTTGAACTTAGGTCTCCCGCAAGGAATGCCACAAAGCACAGTCCTGAGCCACCCGCATTAGTCGACTTCCTGCATATCTTACCAAGTCATCAGTTCATCAAGTGGGGGTTCTACGAGGGTGGATTGAAAAGTACTCGGCCTAACACAGACCCATTCAATTCTAAAAATCAAATCTACCCACATTATTTAGTTCAGTTCAGACTAGTTCATTGTGTGAAGTTCGAAACGTGTGCGATAATTCGTTGTGATTTTATAAATTTATTAACAAAGTAATCGGACATAATTTCCGCGAATGGAGCAAATCGAGCAGCGTGCCGTCATTAAGTACCTCCATAAGAAGGGGCTATCATCAAAAGCCATCCATGATGACATGGTCAGTACATTAGGCGATTGTGTTCTGTCATATTCATCCGTCAAAAAATGGATATAAGAATTTAAGCGTGGTAGAGAGAGTGTGAAAGATGAATCCCGCTCTGGAAGGCCTTCGACGTCAACTACTGACGAAAAATTAAAAAAGTACTTGATTTAATAATGGGAGACCGCAGATTAAAAATGAGAGAGATAGCCGAGATTATAGGCATCTCTTATGAACGAACTCAAAGGTTCCGCGACTGCTTTCAGTTGAACAAAAAAGGACGCGATTGACTATTTCACGCGACTGTTTGGAGTTATTTGAAGCCGATGCAGATGATTTTTTGAATCGTTTTGTTACTATGGACGAAACATGGGTTCATTACTGTACACCGGAAACAAAACAACAATCAAAACAGTGGAGAAGACCTGGTTTACCATCCCCTAAAAAGGCTAAGTTGATTTTGTCGGCAAATAAGGTGATGGCTTCAGTATTCTGGGACTCGAAAGGTGTGATTATGATTGATTATCTTGAAAGGGATCAGACTATAAACTCTGATTACTACTGCACCTTACTACGTCGTTTACGAGAGGAAATAAAAGAAAAACGTCGAGGAATGCTCAGAAGAAAAGTCCTGTTTCATCAAGATAACGCCCGTGTTCACACGTCAGTACAGTCAATGGCTGAAATTAACAACTGTGGCTTTGAACTGTTACCGCATCCGCCGTATTCACCTGATCTGGCACCATCAGACTTCTTTCTGTTCCCTAACCTAAAAAAGCACTTGGGAGGTCAAAGATTTTCGACAAACGACGAGGTCAAAGCAGCTGTAGACGCATATTTTGACTCTAAGGAAGAATCATTTTTTTTTCAACGGTCTAAATGCTTGGAAGGGGAGGTGGCAAAAGTGTATTGAACTTGATGGTGATTATGTAGAAAAATAAAAATATAACTGATTTAGTATGTGTTTATTTTCTTGGTTAGGCCGAGTACTTTTCAATCCACCCTCGTATTTAATTATCAAACGTGGTTTATTGATAGTCTCCAATTTTAACTATATCTTAAAAAGTGTCTTTCTAACTAAATAATTCTCTTAGGCAAGGCGCCATAGTCTTCGAGAAAATTAATGTATACTGTCAAATATTTACTTATACTTACTTTACGTTTTAGTTTGCATATTTCCACGAGTCTTTTTTATTTAAACAGATAAAACTAACTATAAACTATTTTTCGTAATAAGGCGGATATTGTTCGATCCACAAAAATTAACGATGGAATTTAGCATGGTCATAGTAATCAAACATAAGATTAAAAAAGGTACGACCTTTACAAATATGAAAAATTGTCACGAAAGAATTTAACACATGATACATTCCTAAACGATGATACGAAAACTGTTGTTGTCTGGAACACATCCGCCATAAAAAGGGATTTAACGATCAAAAGCTCCTCCATAGTACCTACATAGTATCAATTATTTTAAAAAATTTGATTAATCTGTGTACATAAAACACAATTACCAGAGTACATAGTTATTATACAGCACCATTAAACCGTCAACTGTTTGTATTGGTGCTGGCAGACGTCTACACGCATAAATATATTATTTTTTATAACTACCTACTATTATGAAATTGGGAAAATTAAGTATATAACAATAAGTAGGCCTAAACATATCTAACTTTAAACACACATTCTTATAATATTCAACATTTAATTAACCATTCTAAATTGTATTAGCTACATGACGACAAACAGGTTCGTGTTGCTATTGTACCATTACTCCTTCAGATTTTTTTTTATAAGTTCGGGTGACAAACGAGCACACAGTCCACCTGATGGTAAGTGGTTGCTGTGGCCCATAGATATCTACATCTATCTTCGTTTACGAATCAAAATGCAGATGCGTTGTCATCCGTGAGGACTAAGATGGAACGCCTCGTTTCCAGTAAAAAGGGCCTCTAGTTCTCTACACTCACCATACGAAACAGAGCAGCATCAAGCTACTATTTTACGCTGGTATCTTGTGAGAGCATGGTCCTTCCCCGGTCGAGCCGACCCATTCGTGCTACAACTATACTTCTAATATAACTGCAGCATGGCTCTACCACGTATAATACACGGGCATCCCAGATTAAATTCCCACCGGCATTAATTTAAAAAAAATAAAGTGCTGTTGTTAAAACCTGCTTATTTGAGAGACATTTTTTTATCGAAGACCAATTCGTTAACATACGTTATATTATAATGCAAACACACATTACAGTTCATCAATGTCCACTGCTGGGCATAGGCTTCTCTAAAGATTGCGTCATTGATGATATTTGCCACAGTTGCCACGCTTGGCAGGCGGGTTGGCAAGCTCAGTTTTTTTTATTTTTCGAGTTGTTATCAGGAAGATACTACGCGAATTGGGCTGGTGAATATTCTTACACCGCCACTACACTGTTTTTAGACATTGTAATAAATAGCAATAATATTTAAAAAATATTATAAGAAAAGAACATGAGATTAAATTTTCAAAAACCTTCTCCAACGTATACACTTCCATCCGAAAATATTTGAGTCATTAATATTTAAATTGAAAAAAGAAATTCGCTTCCACACTAACTGGAAAGTATTACTTGATATTTTATAGATTCAGTTGAGACCATTCCTACATATTATTATGATCAATAAAATTTGAAGACGTTTAAGAAAAATCCTTAAATTGTAATTCCCTACATCAATACTTTATACTATTACTGCTCAAAGAAAGATAAATCATCAAAACAAAAGCGTAAGTCATGTATAACATAAAGGATAAAGCAGTATTAATATTAAAGCTTACTTATGAACGGGGAAATGGAGAGGGTTTGCTTGCGAACCGGTGTTGCAAGCTGAAATTGTTTTCCCATTTTATTGGGTCACATCATTTTCAATATAAAATAATTTTGTCATAAGTGGCCACTATGGGAAATGTCAGAAAAATCATATGGCGTTCGATATATATTTCGTTTACACCTGACGCCAGAAATCAACCCACAACGAACAGCAGCGTTTAAGGAGTCTGGTATACATCGTTTGGTTTTACTGACTGACGTTGAAGTAGTAGTGACTAAATACATACAAGACATTAAGTATCTACTTTTAACTTATACTACATTGACAGATATTTTTTTATTGCAAAAAAATGAGGTTGAGAACAGAAGAGGATATTATGTTATTAAATCGTGATAAAAGAAAATATATAGATGGTTCTTGTTTGCACATAATTAATTGATCAAAGTAACTTATTCGTAAGTGACCTTTAATCAAAATTATATGAAATTGTGGCCACCTGTGTTTGTATACAATGTAGTCATAATTAAGTATGTAGTATATATATATTATGACTTAAAGCGGTAATCATGTGCACGCAAATCGGTTAAACCGATTTCACTGTGGAGGGGATTCGTACGGCTTCATAACAGAGTTTATTGATCTGTGTCAGGGTACAACGGGTGAGCGTCATCCGAGTAGTGAAACTGGCATGTAAAACTATATACACGGACATTGAACTTTCTTTTTTGTATGTACGTGACAGTGACAAAAAAAAATAAAAAATATTTCCCGATTTTAAACTAGTGTTGGTAATTTCACGGTTGCGATACTGTCCACCCAGCGCACCGTCGGAGTGGGCCGCAGGCGCAGTGTGTGTCGGTTCCCCGCAATGTTTGTTCGTCGCGTGCACACCGCGCTAGCGTTGCTCGCGTTAGCGACCGTCGCACACGCTATGATTGACGATGCACTCGACGTAATCCGTCTGGGCAAAGAAATCGGCGAGGAAGTGCTTAACTCCTGGGATCTTATAGGAAAACCATTCAATGTGTCCGGCGGCGTCGATCTGCCTCTCGTCAGAAGGCGCGAACGAGAAGTTTTGGCCCGATTGGCACAGGTGACGAGAAGTATTGAAAGACTCGAACTTAGAATACAGAAGATGGGGTCGATGGCGAGGCTGCTTGCAAAAGCGGGAGGACGAGGCGCTAGATTAGAGTTGCGGTTGCATGAGATGGCGGATCTCTTGAGCCGGGTGGCATCAGCTAACAGAAAGATGCGAGAATACGTGAGATTGCAACAGGAGTTGGAGAGGGCAACACTGGAAGACTTCGCGGAGTGGTGTGTGTCGCACGACTCGGGGGCACTGCCCAGTCTTCTTGAACGTGTTCACTCTCTGATATCGCCTCCGCATAAGCACTTGTTGGGAAGAAGTATTCTGCAGCTAGTGTTGGATGATTTGGAGGTTGGTATAGCCACGTTAGCAAATAGGGACAAATAGAGGGTAAAGTAGAAAAATTAGTTTTGTTACCTATGTTTATAATACGGTTATTTCTCACCACATGAATGATCATGGTTTATTTACATCGTAGGTAGGGTTTATCAATACTGAATTATTAAGAACGTAAGTTACAAAACTAGAAATAATTTATCTAAAACAACACATGGAACTTAGAAATGTTTTGCTTTGATACACTTTCAAAATTAAAATTCAGAATTAAAATGGAAGAAGACAAGATCTATTGCAACGTTTTATAAGCCATTCAAGCAAAGGAACAAAGGTTTAAACATTAGCTCTGCTATTGTCTTATTAAGTTGTTCCCTTTCAGTCCAATCGACAATACCATTTCCTACGGTCAATATTTAAACATTGGCACCATTTGTCGTTACCTATACTGTCGGTTACAGAGATAATGACTGATAAAATGTATGCTTCGTTGCTAGGTTAAAAACGGTTAAGCTGAGCTTGCTTAATACAGACATTGATTTAAGTGACATTTGTATGTCAATATGATTACGATTATTATGACGAGATTATTTAAGTACCTACAGGTAAAATTTTGTTACTTTTTTTTTATAAGTTGTAAGTGGTGATGAGTTCTTGGATGTACAGTTACATCGCACTGTCTTGATAAAAGCTTATTCATTATTTTATTGAAGACGATCAGATTGCAATCGGACGAAAAGACAGACGCTAAACGTCGGTAGATTACTTCACTCCTTTTGTTGTGCGAAATGCGATAAAAGAACCATTTTAAGTGCATGTAATAACTAATATCGACATTTTCTGTCATTAACATCAATATATTTTGTCTCAGACAAAGTCTGATATATTACATTATGTTATGGGTCCCCTCTTTTCGCATACACAATTTACGTTGGGAAGATAAAAAATGAAGTACTACGTGGAATGCTACGTGGGAAACATGAATTGTTACAGTTGGTTGCAGTTATGATTAAAGTTCCCTAACATTTCCTCTCTATATGAAATGTTTAGTTTATTTGTATGTTTAAAAAGAAATATCATCGGGCCGTCACTCGGCCGTTATTTTCGATTTCCGTCGGGATCCGTTTGTAAACACTACATACCGGCGTCGCGTGTCGCGCGCTGTTCGGCTCCACAAACAAGGATGTTTGTTTACGCGGTAGTGTCACAACAATCAATTAATTTGTAGGTTTTCAATTACACGCCATGAATAATTGTTCAAGGAATGCGTTCGCTTTTAAGATTCAAAAATATTAATTTAAGTTACAGTCTATATTATTAATCTCACTGCTGAACACAAGATGTCTTTCTAAGAGAATAAGGGGATATTGAAAATATTATTGTGCGTACAAAATGTTTGTACTTTCAATATTTGAAAATATGACTAAGATTTATTTTTGGAAATTTTACGGATATTTTATTTTATTTTAATGACTAGTACATTTGATTTTACGCAAGTGCTGGAGTCATGATTTTCTGACCACTTATTATTAGGTGGACTATGTGTTCGCGTTCTCGTAAAAGAAAAAAGCTCAAAGTAGCAAGTAGAATGTCGTCTAAACAGTTACAATAAATACTTCTTCCCAAATTTTTACAATCTTAGAGATGGGATTTGTTTTTCTAATTAAAATGGAGTCACACTGACGGAATAGCCTATTTATTACAAGAATCATCATTTAAATTGATACAGCCGTTTCCGAGAAATTGGTGAACATATATAAAAAAACATACGCGTCGAATATAGAACCTCCTCCTACAGAGCATCGAACATTCATACGGGCTTGAATTTGCAGTCAAAAATATAAAAAAGATATCTATTTATATTAACTTTTAAACAATGTTAGCGCTTTGGTTGTCAAATTTTTAGATTTGTTTATTTTATTCGTAATTGGCCTTTAAATAATTAAGAAAACTTTGACAACTAAACTAACTACCTCTATCGTGCAGTACAACACTAATAACGGTACACCTATATAAATAATTATCCAACGAAAATAAAATAAAGAACCGTGTGCGCATGGAGACATAAGTATAAAATATAAATTTATTCGTGATGTTCAGAAAAGCTATGCGAGGATATCGTGTCGATAGTTCATCGGATCCTTTGATATGGCCCGTAAGATAGTCGTAACTTGTAACATAATATAAATAATATGGCCCACGACACCCAGCCCCGTACCATTACTTTCAAAAGAAATATTGTAGATAAAATTTCATGAAACGCGACTTAACGCTTTTCTATTTTTACAGTTAGCTTAGAGATTATAGATGAAGATTTAACATTTTATATATTAACATGTTCTGTGAATAAATTATATCTTTCACGGATTGTTTCAAATGGCTCGCCACGTTCAGCGTTTTTTTTTTAAATAAAATTAAAGGGTTAAGTGAACTTACTGACCACCTGATGGTAAGTGGATATGCAGTCTATGGAAACCTGCAGAAAATTTAAAATAAAGTAGGCTCACTTTTGAGGACTGCGATGGAGTGAATGCCTCACAACCAGGAATTGTACCAGGTTTCTATACCCTACCGAGTGAAACACAGCAGTACAGGTACTGCTGTTTGGCTTCGTAAATAGGTAAGATGGTAGGTAGTACGTACTCAGACTGACTCCTGGTCAGAAAGGATGCGTACATTTTACTCACAGATCCTCGGTTAAAATGATTTATTGGTATTTGATTCTAACGTCAGTTTTAACGCATTAACTATATATATATTATATATATATATATTTATATATATATATGTATATGTATATATTTATATATATGTATATACATATATGTATATATATACTGTGTATTATAGCTGTAGCACGAATGGGTCGGTTCGACCGGGTCAGGACCACGCTCTCACAGAATACTAGAGTAAAATAGCAGCGTAATGCCGTTTTATTTCGTATGATGAGTGTAGAGAATCGGAGACCCTTTTTACTGGAATCGAGGTAGGGGTGACATTTCCTTCAGGGGTGACAACACATATGCATTTTGATTATTGAGGATAAACGTGGGTGTCTATGGGACACAGCATCCAATTACCATCAGGAGGACTGTGTGCTCATATGTCACCCTTATTTTATATAATATACATACAATATAATGTATTGGGAGCATTTTAATCCACTGGTGGACATTAGGATTTTCAGCAAGCGCAACAAACACTTATCAAAGTTGCCTCACGCATGACGCGGTATTGAGCGCAGATATCCCAACATCGGTCTGTGTATGTTTTCAGTTATGAGACCCCCACTCGCTTAGGTCATTTCACGGGTCCTAATCGTCGTCGTTATTCTGTCCGTCGTAGTTATTCTCTCATTACCTATAGACATGCAACAGCATAGGTGCTGTTGCAGCAAGTTGAAGCTGTTGCTGTTGCTTTAAGTACTTTATTTATTTTACTGAAATACTTTTATTTACTTACTATTACTATTATTTAGTTATACGCACACGCCTTATAGAGTACCCTGGTTTAGTAGTATTTATTGGCAGTTTCGGATTTGATTGAAGAAAGCACGGAGTTGAGAGGTGGAACTTAAAAATGATTGAGTTACACCTCTGTACTCCGTGAGCTCTTCTATACGATACGGGCGTCTTGTCGTTAGCCCCAAACAATTATTTTTATCGGAATGACTTTCGGGAACTGCTATATCGGACACACCATGTGGCATCCGTTCGACATTAATTCAGATAAAATTTCAACAAATACAGTCACTTCTCACTGCCGTCGGATTACGTTACAAGTAGTTGATGTATAAAGATACATCTATCTATATATATAAGTGAAATAACACTGACTCACTCTTCACTTGATCTCATTAACTTTACGCCCGATTGACCTGAAATTTGGCATATATACTCTTTTCTCAACGTAGACAGCCACTAAAGAAGGATGTTGGAAATTTCGAACCCTGAAGAGATGAAATAGGGTGTTAGAGCTTGCTTATATGTATATGAGTCACATTACGAATTAGCTTGATGCTACGGCTACACCGGTTACACCGGTTTTATTAACGGTTTAGTTTCGCGACCATTCTGACTCACTGCTACATTTTTTAATCTTTAAGCATGATATGAAATAAACTAGGCATGAAATTAAATTAGGGAGCCCATTAGTCTCCTGCTAAACATATGCCTACCCCTAGTATTGCCGCGCAGTTTTTATATTTATTAGTTGTTATTAGAAAGACGCTGCTCCCTATCCCTATCTCCTGGTTTGTGTCCCTCTATCGCTTATTGGACACCCACAAGACGATATCGGGTGGTTGATATTCTTACACCGTCACTACACAGTAAATGATAAGTTTTTCAACGTAATAAATCAAAATTTCATCTGTTAAACATTATTTTTATAATTTACTACCGTTTCGAAATGAGCATAAATAATACATATCTAATATATTATTCACATATAGAAATTACCTTCGTCTGCCCGAAGAACAACCGATGTAAGATTTCAGCAGATCTTTTTGTATTATTTCTTTTACGATTAATATCATATCATTATTTTTCATAAATTAATTAAAGGCTAATGAAGATTTTGCTTTTTTAAGCATTTTTATTTGGTAAAGGCGATACTCTCTCTCTATATATTATTTACCAGCTCAATCCCCAAAGTTTTACCAGAAATGTGCAATATAACTTTTCTTAGCACGTTTGTCCGATTGTCAGATCTATCCGGAGACTGGGCTAAGGATTTTGACACAAACAAACGTACCTATGTAGCAACTGGCATTCGAATCCAGGACACAGCGCAATTTTTCACATTAAACCTTGCTGCCGTTGATCAGTTTTGTACCGTCTAACCGTGAAAAGGGGTAACCTTGGCGGCCGGTCAGCCGTCAAATAACAATGTCCATTCAATTCACGTAAAGTGTGGGTGTGGCGCGCACTTCCTAGGTAATGAAATTATATCACCCAGGCCTGTGATCGACACGAAGCGTTCGGGAATGGTATCGAACACGCCATAGTTCATTCTCAAAAAGATAAGCTAAAAAGTAACTACATTACATAAAT